CCTGACTCTAATAATAATCGTATTGAATATTTAATATTATAAAGGAAGGGGACGGTCCGGGGTGGCGGTCATAAATAGGCTAAATAGTGGTAAAACTATTGAAAGCCGACGTTTCATCCCGACTTTGCAGATCTTCTTCTTCGGTGCTAGAACGGACAAGATACAAAAAAAGAATTGTGGTAGTTACATAATATTTAGACAAAATTTAGAAACAATGTGAATAAGCTTATTGAAATTATAAACAGTAAGTAAATTAAAATATGAACAAAGTAAGCTAAGTAACGATATCCTAAACTGAAGTAAATAGGTGTTGACAATTGTTGTAGTGTAATATATAATATATGCAAATGTGGATATACTTCTACAGGAGAGATTAAAGAAAAGAAAAGCAAACTCCCTAGCTAGCTGAACACACCTGTAAGTCTCTATTTTACTCTTCTAATTTTATTTACTTCTTTTTTTTTCTTTCTTTCTCCACATTCCTTTATGTCTATTATTTCATATTATATCATTTTTCCTTTCTTTCAATCTCTCCTGTAGATCTGTAGAAGTATATTCACATTTGCATATATTATATATTACACTACAACAATTGTTACCATCTATTTACTTCAGTTTAGGATCTCGTTACTTAGCTTACTTTGTTCATATTAAATTTAGTTACTGTTTATAATTTCAATAAGCTTATTCACATTGTTTATAAATTTTGTCTAAATATTATGTAACTGCCACAATTCTCTATCTTTTTGTATCTTGTCCGTTCTAGCCCTGAAGAAGACATGCAAAGTCGGGTCGAAACGTCGGCTTTCAATAAAATAGTTTTACTACTATTTAGCCTATTGATGACCGCCACCCCGGACCATCTCCTTCCTTTATAATAATAATCAATTTTAGTCAAATTTATCTCATCACTTTATAAAATAGGTGATAGTCAGAACGCAGTCATTCAATATTTTTATTGTTGCCGACGTTTCGACCCTTCAGTGCTGGTAACATGCCCTGATAATGATCCACAATTTTGGGTCGAAACCTAACACATTTTATTCAATCATTCATCAAATTGATTTTATCTTAAATTATTCCAAACATTAAGATGATGTCAAACTTAAAAATCAAAACAACCGTTCGCTGAAAAAATCGTTACATAGACAAACCAAACACATAACTTATGTCGCTTCGCTTAGTCAATTAAACGTATATGACGAGTAGTGTAATTTAAAAAAAAAGTAAAAACACCATTGTACCAGTATCATTCCACTTTAAATTATACGAGTGGGATATGATCCCACGATCATGCTATAAATGGGATTCTGATAATAGCCGAAGAGTGACGACGTGTTCACAACATGGCCATCCTTTATTTAGGTTTGTATTATTCCTTGTAATTAGGAACTGAAAACCCGTAAATACCCATTTGCATTCTACTTCGATAGTAAGGTAATTTGATCTCAAAATCGATAAAAAAGTTATTCTAAAAAAATATCAGTTTGTTCTATATGATCGTTATTTGGATAATTTTGGGGTGTCACGCCAAACGGTTCAATATTTTTTAAGGCGACTTTTTTTTCGATTTTGTACTCAAATTATCTTATTAGATTCAAGTGAAAATGGGTATTTACGAGTTTTAATACCTAATTAAATAGACCAAATTTGCCGATCTTCAGGCTGAAAACGCCAGAATACCGAGAAGGTTTGTAAATAAAATATTTATAGGTTACGATGAGACACTAGCGGATCCAGAATTTAATTTTTGGAGGGGACTTCAGCCCGAAAGCTTTTTTTTTCATAAAAATGACGATAATTACTTTGGAAAAAAAGAAAGAAACTAAATATCTATATGAAATGGTGTTTAAGTGATTCCTTAAGTCCTTTAAAATGTAATTACACGAACAATAATACTTTAAGAGATAATTTTTTAATATATTTTTCCATAAAACATGGTTATATTTTACCATTTTGGAGGGGGAGGGGCTTCAGCCCGAAAGCCTCTCCCCCGTAGATCCGCCCGTGCGATGAGATGAAGCTATTTACAAAGTTTCAAGCGGATGTTAATAATTTGATAAAAGGGATCTGTACTACGGACTATAATAAGTTGGTTTTCTAGCTTGCTTATTTCAAATCTATTATGAGGAAACCACAAATTAGTACAAAAAAATGTTTGTAATATATTTTTCAATGAAGCCATACTCCCCTCGTACCGCCTCCACCATCGCCGATCGACCAATGTCTTCAAGATGGAAGTGCAACGGCGTTCAAGGTCACTGCCTTCTTCCAAGGTCTTTTAAAGGATTTCTTTTTCTTCTTGTCTGTATTTACTGGATAAAACCTAACATTTGTTCTTAATCATGTTATCCAAAACAACTTGTAATAAATACATATATAATTCTAATATCGATGTTGGTATAGACAAGGTAACTATCAGTCTATCTGTGTATATTAGACGGTGATACAGACCCCTTTTTTTCAAATTATTAATATCGGCCTAAAACTTCATAAATAGCTTCATCTTATCAAATTATTTATTTATAAAACTCTCGGAAATGGAGCGTTCTCCTCCGTATATGAAGAGCTATTAAAAACTCATCAACATCCATTTGCTTTCATGAAGTTTCAAAGGGATGTTAATAATTTGATAAAAAAATAAATGGGTGGCTCTGTAGAGTAATCCTTTAACCTTTCTTAAAACCATTGCATCCCAAACTCTTCAATCACACATCACAAGCCTTGAAGAATGGTGTCAAAACTGGAGGATTAAAATAAATTCTAATAAATCCCATCAAATCACCTTTACCCTTCGACGTAAACCTACGACCTCATGTCCCACAGTATCCTTTAATAATACCCCACTTATCCCTGTTGAACAAATCCGATACCTTGGACTTCACTTGGCCAAACAAACGTCTAACTTGGAATCCTCATACCAGACTGAAACGACAAGAAACCGCTCGACGTTTCCGTCTACTCCAACACTTACTAGACAAACGCTCTAAACTTCCCCTTAATTACAAAAGACTCATATACTTGACTATAATAAGACCTATTTGGACTTACGGAGTTGAGCTATGGGGCGCCACTAAACCATCGAATTCCTCTCGCATCCAATCCTTACAATCCAAAATCCTTCGTAAAATCCTCAATGCTCCTTACTTTGTCACTAATAAAATAATCCATAAAGACCTCAATGTTCCATATGTTTCCGATTTGGCCAAATCCAGATACCTATCCTTCCATAATAAACTTCATAACCATCCGAATCCTCTTGTTTCTAACCTTGCTTCCTCTTCGATTCCCGATAACCCTTTGAGGCGTCTGAAAAGAAGATGGCCTCGTGATCTTCTCATGTAGACAAATTATTAGAGTGCTACCAGTGGGTAGTTTCTCAACAAGCGTGTTTCATGTAATAATATTTCTCTGTACAAATTTACTTGATGTATTTATACTAATACAGTTGTAAATATCATAATAAAAGATTAAAAAAAAAAAAAAAAAAAAAAAAACCTTTCTTAATAGCACTAGTCAGCGGTGCCCAGAAGGGAGTTTCATGGTACAAGTTTCTCCATCAAAATTTTTGAGGGGGGCACATTTTGACAGGAATTTGAACTTTTGAAGGGGCCACATTTTGACGGAGTTATGAATTTTGAGTGAAAAGATTCAAAATAGAGAACTAGGGAGGGAATATTGGACATACACAGCTAGTGTAATTGTGTATGATCTACGATTTCTCTAATTTTACTTTCGCTTGCTCTGTTTTTAAGAAGAGGAGAGTAATAAAAATTTTAGAGAGGAGGGGATGATTCATGCGCCATCGACCTTGGGGAAGAGAAGGGGATGCACATCACTGGCCCTAGTTTTAGAGCCCTCTCATTAAATAGTTAATTAATTTACCTAATCGTGTTTCACATAGTTTGTGAAATGTTTAAAAATACCTTAATATATGTAAATTAGACCGCTGTGTTATAATATTGTAATTAATTGTTTTAAATAATATTTTGTTCCACTAGTAATTTTTACTCTCACTTTCCATTTTCTTAAAATATCTAGTCCTGCTTAAAGAAGTATTGCGAGTGAAAATTGTGTGATGTGCACACCGCGCTAGATTTTTAATTAATTGTTTACGATCTATTCCTTTGAAAATTAATTTTATAGAAAATATACCACATTGATTATATACAAAAAATAACAAAGTAACAAAGATTTAGAAAATTTTTATTTGTAGTCTTTGTTTACTGTATTATTTATTCTTTGAGAATGATAACTTTTTAATTAAATTAATAATATTAAATTTTCAAAGGGTATTTAATTTGTCAACGAACTTTTTTACTTTACGAAACTTTATTGTAATTTTATTTTATTTTTACATCTGATAACGTTTTGAACCACTTCACCCATTTTCAAGTTTTAGAATCATATCTGTAACATTAATAAAAATATTATTAATGTGAATCAAAATCAACACACTCACAAACTTTTTTTTTTAACAATCACTATTATTGAATTAAAACTTATACCTAACATAATTATGTAATCTTAAACCAAAAATTATTTATAATTTTTTTTTATATTTGAATGAATTTCAAATTATTTTAAACGATTTTAAGGTATTAAGTGTAATAATAATACAAAATAAGTTGTTTTTTAAAAAATAAAATATGTGTTGACCAGTTCTTGCATTTTTCTTTGAATTTTGTAATACGATACAAGTTAAATAAAGTTTTAATAAAATATACTATATAATTATGTTCAATTTTTTGTTAAGTATAAGTTTTAATTCACTAATAGTTTTTGTTAAAAATATTATTTTATTGTGAACGTGCTTATAATTTTTTATGTATATAAATAATATTGTCACATATTAAAAATGAAATAAAGTTTGTGAAGTAAAAAGAGTTTTTTTTAAGTGTTACTCGAAATTATAAATTTATATTGATTAATGAGGGATGTTTTTAATTTGACTGGTCGATTAAATTTTACTAATTTATAATTTTTATTTTATTTTTCAGGTTAAAGTCGTAAAATTTAGTTATATGTGGACGATAAACAACTTCAGCTTCTGCCGGGAAGAGATGGGAGAAGTTTTAAAATCTTCTACCTTCTCAGCTGGAGCAAATGATAAGCTTAAATGGTAATATTTGTTTTTTGTTTTGTTTTTAATTTTATTTTTTAATAGTTGGCATTTTGTATTTATTTAATTTTTTTGTATTTTATATTAGTGTTATAATAATCTGAATGAATTGATCAACGATAGCGACTGTTTGTTGTACCTTGGAATCTATATTACTGTGTCATTTAGATCCCATTTTGGGGTCAGGGTGTCAGGGAATGGTTTCAGACATTTGGGTCATGCTAGGGACAAAGGAATGGGATCACTATCAGACCAATCCAACCTCCGCTAACATCATCATCATCAACAATGTCTATCTTGTAACATTTCTTTATATATTTCATCTTTCAATTGGTTTTATATAAACATAAAAAAAAAAATAATAATAATAAAATAATTAATAATGAGAATGGTTGGTTATTAAGTAAAGGTGCCCAAATATTCCCATTTTTAGAAGACTTATATTCTAAAAAAAATTAGATGTTCTTTTAGTAAATGAAAATACTCAAGTATTAGGGTCATACTAAATTATTAAGGTTAACAAAAAAAAAAAAAAATACCTATTAAATTTGTTTAAAATATAGATAAATCAAGTATTTAAGATGGAAAGAAGTAGCTTATTAAAATAGTTTGAAAAAAATTGAATTCAGTCAAACAAAAGAACTCTTTTGTTTTAATTACTATATATATTTTTGTAACCTAAAAGCTATATTTTCAATTATTGTTTATTTATATTAAAGAGTTTGGCCACTACGTATTGTTATTTTAATTTTATTCTTAAGGAACTTTCTCCCAGGGTAATAAAGAAAAATTTTCAATTCTTTATAATCATAATTTATAAAATATTCCAAAAATTTATACATTTACACTTTGAAGATATTTAACTGTCCATGAAATGAGAGTTAAACATTTTCTTTATTACCCTGGGAGAAAGTTCCTCAAGAATAAAATTAAAATAACAATATGTAGTGGCCAAACTCGTTAATATAAATAAACAATAATTGAAAATATAGCTTTTAGGTTACAAAAATATATATAGTATTTAAAACAATATTTAAAAAAAATAAACAAATGAAAAAGATAATAATAATATATATGTGGAAAATAGCAATAAAATGAACTCTGGGAAACATTTGAATATAGGAAATGGTGATTAAGTGTATTGACAAAAAATAATACTACTCGTAGATAATTCAATTTTATTTTATTATCAATAAAATAATTTTAGGTACATGTACATATTATGTGTCACTTGATATCTATATTTTATAATCCTTAAATTCTAAAACAAAAATAATTTGTTTTATTATGATTATGAACTCAGTCTAAAGGTTGTGACTTTATTATTATTTGTGATAATAAACATGGCTGCTTATCTGTCATTTTTAAATATTTAGTCAAATCAAAATGGGTTTCTTAAATTTTTCTTTACCTACCTGAATGTTTGTTTTTACAAATGTGCTTGATATTATTATTCATGAATTCGCTAATTGTGTTGGTATTATTTAATATTTAATTGTGTTGATTACACTAGTTAGTAATACTTAAAATGCTTAAACAAATAAAAATAACCACAATGAAATATGAACAAATATTGCGTTCTTTATCAGTGACACTCTTATCAGACAAAATATTGAGTCATAAATGGGCATGTGGTTAGTGACAAAAAAAATATAAATATAATAGTCCGTGGTACAGACCCCTTTTTATCATATTATTAACATCCGTCTGAAACTTCATAAATTGTTTCATTTACGAAACACTATTATTTACGAAAACTCTTGGAATTGCGGTGTTTTCAATCTGGAGGGAGACAAATTTTTCTATTTAATTAGGTAGTAAAAACTCGTAAATACCCATTTGCTTTTTTCTACTTGGAGGTCGTAAGATAATTTGATTGCAAAATAAATAAAAAAGGTGGCCTACAAAAATATTGAGCCGTTTGGCTTGATCTAAACCCCCAAATTTTCAAAATAATGAGGTTATATAGACTATAATATATATATACATACATAAATGTAATACTCACACATTAGACAGCTGTGAAAAACATATGGTAATTAATTATTTTAAATAATACTTTGTAACATCAGTAATTTTTTATGAGACATTCATTCAATTCATTTTGGTTCCTTTTATTTTATGAATCGTTTTATGAAGGTTGCTATTCCCATTTTTAGAAGACTTATATTCTAAAAATTTAGATGTTCTTTTAGTAAATGAAAATACTCAAGTATTAGGGTCATACTAAATTATTAAGGTTAACAAAAACAAAAATACCTAATAATATTAAATTTGTTTAAAATATAGATAAATCAAGTATTTAAGATGGAAAGAAGTAGCTTATTAAAATTAAAATTGAAATTGAAGTTTGAAAAAAATTAAATTCAATCAAACAAAAGAACTCTCATTTCATGAACAGTTAAATATCTTCAAAATGTAAATGTATAAATTTTTGGAATATTTGATATTTTAATTCATGATATGTGATATTGAATGTATCATGTAAGGTTATTGGAGCGGAGTTTCTCAATAGTTAAGGCACTGACTTCTAAAACTAAAGTTCCCGGATTTGTGGGCCTTCCAGAAAAATTATTTATTCTGTTTCATTGGCTGTGGAGTGACTTTGGTGTTGGGAGACCCTCCTTGGGGTAGACCCAGCCTCTATAAACTCGGTACTGTTAATTAAATAATTAATTTAGGGAGAAAATCTGGCGGTTGAGTGTGATCTCAGTCAGATCATCTCCTTGCACAACCTTTGACCAAGTAACAGTGCTTTTCCTAAATAGTACTTAACCCAAGATCTTTCATGGGTTGTAGTGGTACAGGTCTGAAGATTTAATAAGTGAGTAATAATAAGTATGCTCATGTAAGTTATCGTGAAATATTTTGTAGTGTGTTCGTATGTGGTCATTAACTGGTTGGCATGTGGAGATCTTGTGGAGATGAAAAGTTTGGGTTGAAACGTCAGCAAACCTAATAAAAATTCTTGACTGTAAATCCTGACAATTTAGTTTCATCCTAATAATTGATCAGTCGACTAATTCGACCCATTTCGAAAAGTTTGTAGTTTTCCTATTTGGTTCATTTGGCTGTTCCGTGTATCTGTAAAGGGTGGGTCTATATGGGCTTATGTAGAAAAATGTAAATGGACAGTTTCTGTTTTAGGTTTAATTTTGAGTAACTTAAAAGAAGTGAGTATAATATCCGTAGTCTGAGGTTTAAAGTTTTTATTTGTTATTAAAACTTCAGTGAATTAAACTAAAAAAAAAAAAAACGTATAAAACTATTAAAATGAAACATGGTTTCACAATTATTGTACACTATTGTTCCAGAATATTGCTTATATTTTTTTACCTTACAAATTTTTATTTTATTTATCCACAGGTGTTTACGCGTGAATCCTAAAGGTTTAGACGAAGAGAGTAAAGATTATCTGTCACTGTACCTGCTCCTTGTGTCATGCAACAAGTCAGAAGTCAGGGCTAAGTTCAAATTTTCAATTCTTAACGCCAAACGTGAAGAAACTAAAGCCATGGGTAATGTCTTTTGTTAATTTTTGGAATTTATATTTATATTATCCAAGTGGCTAGCTTATGAGCTAAATTTCATAATGATCCATTTATAATTTTCAGAAAGCCAAAGAGCCTATAGGTTTGTGCAAGGAAAGGATTGGGGATTCAAAAAATTCATCAGGCGAGATTTCTTACTCGATGAGGCTAACGGGTTATTGCCTGATGATAAGCTTACAATATTTTGTGAGGTAAGTATATACAAAGTAGTACCTAATTACATTGTAATAATACATTTTTTTTAAAATTATTCTTATTTTACTATTATAACTTTTTATTAAAGTTATATTTTCTTAAAACCTTAGGTGAGCGTTGTCGCTGACAGCGTAAACATCTCAGGCCAGTCGAACGCCGTACAGTTTAAAGTTCCTGAATGTCGGCTGCCTGATGACCTCGGCCAGTTGTTTGAGATCCAAAAGTTCAGTGATGTTACCTTATCAGTCGGCGGTAGAGAATTCCAAGCACATAAAGCTGTCCTTGCTGGTAAATATCATTTCTTCTATCAATCATTAGTAATTATTATGGAGCGGGGTGGGTCAATTTTAGTGGCTCAATGAGTAAGGCACCCATCTCTTATTCAATTATTTATTTGCTTATGAAGGATTTATACTTCATGTTTATAAAGGACAGAGTAGAAAAATTCAAATACCTCTGCTTCCCAATATCCTCAATGAATTACCAACCATCGAAAATAGACCAGCGTATAACAAGTGCAAACAGAGCTTTCTTCTCCCTTTTAAATGTTTTGAAATCCCCAAAAAATTAAGGGTGTAAAATGCTATGATAAAGCCACTTCTTCTAATATATGACTGTGAGACCTGGACACTACCCAGCATCCTAGAAAAAAGTATTGAAAGATTCGAGAGAAAAATCCTCCACGCAATAACCAGAGTGATCTGAGATCAGAGTACCAACACATAGAGAAGAAAGACCAATCAAGAACTGCTTACAGAAACTGGTCAATCAATATCCCATGATATGAAGGCATGGAGGTTAAGATGGGTGGGGAAAAAGATTACATGGAAGACCAATAAGCAGATGGATAGATAGAACAAAGATGCAATAGAGCTGCATGTATATAACTGGAAAGAAATAGCTTAAGACAGGCACTTATGGATCAGGCTTGTTGAGACGGCAAAATATCTACATTATCTGTAATGCCAATAGGAATAAAAAAATAAATAATATGTCTTTATACATACATATATTTATATATAAGATGAAACACTAAAGGTCCAGTAAGTTTATCGTTAGCTTTTTTGCAAAAAGTCACTAGGTGCTTTTTTGATATAGGATAACTTTCAAATATGTCTTTGTGAATTTTGACCTTATTTTTCTGAATAAAAACACTTATTATATAAAAATGGCATAAAATCTTTTTATTTATCATCTATAGTTAGTACACAATTTTCTAATTTCACTTCAGGAAAATTCATTTAAGTACTTTATTATTTGAGGTTATGAAATGTTACTTAATGACTTTTTGCAATAAACCGATGTTATATTTGCTGGATTAATTTTATGATACTCTCATTCCATGAAACTAATTTGAGGTCTGCTATGATGAAATAGTGTTTAATTGTCACAAACTATGTTAAATGTTTCATCGGGATATTGCAAACTAAATTCATTTCTGGTGGAGGCTAACGTTTGAATAAGTTTTTGTGAAATTTCTTTATTTATCAATTTCAAAATCCAATAATTGCAACACAATGAAGTTTACCATTTTATATATCCAAAACGGTTATAATAAGTGTACAATGTTCTTATTTCATAGAGCGAAAATTCAACAAAGTACCTAATAATTTAATTATATAATGTTTAACTTCATGATTTTTTACAATAAACCCACAATTTATTTATTCTAAAATTGCGACAAAGAAAATTATTGAATTCAGAGAAAAGAAATTTGTGATTATCCTATCACTCCTGGACAAATTATTGTTTTGTAATATTGAAATTAAAAATGCCTCGAAAATGTTAAGATCTTGAAAACAACCAACAGCAAAATAGATTTATTATGAAAATATTAAAAAGCAAATTTTGGCTGGAAATAAAAAGGAGTGGATCCTTCAAATGAAGAAGAGTTGTTACTGTCATTTGGACTGTAGAACTCTGGAGAAGTCTTGGAAATAGAATCTGGCCTTTCATTGACTATTTGTATCATTTATTGACGTTGTAATAAAAATAAACTAAGGTATGGATTGTTAATGGCCATGGGGCATAGTTTGGAAACTCCGGATCTGGAGTAATTATAAATATTTAAGGAGTACACAACCATCTGCTTGCGTTGGTCATTTTTTAATAGCAGTAGTTGAAGCGTAATCTGTTAATATTTTGTTTAAGATAAGGTTTGTTTTCTAGCTCGCAGCCCAGTGTTTGCCGCTATGTTCGAGCATGAAATGGAAGAGAGGAAGCTGAATAGGGTTGCTATCACCGATGTGGATCAGGAAGTTCTTAAAGAAATGCTGAGGTTCATTTACACTGGGAGGGCGACCAATTTGGAAAGGATGGCTGATGATCTCCTTGCAGCAGCAGACAAGGTATCATATTTTAAAATATTAAATCATATTTAAACGCATACATGCATATTATGTATAACATTTTAATGAGATAAGTTGGATTAATTTGTGATTATTATTTGATTGAATGACCATTTGTTCAATCAATCCCTATTAGTCCATGATACAGAAATTATTAACATCCATCTAAAACATTACCTTATTGTAACTTATAACTTTTTTATTTACAAAAATTCTCAGAAATGGTGTGCTTTCTAATTAAATTAATCATGTATTAAATATTCATGAACCTCCATTCCACTCGAATATTAAGAATAATTTGATCATAAAATCCAGGGAAAAGATGGTCTTAAAAAATATTTTGGTGTTTAGCCTGTATAATATCCATTGAACACAAAAAACTTACTATCCTCATTCTCCTAGATTTCTCCAAAGCTTTTGACCACAGCATCTTCCTTTATCCAACCTTGTCCTGCAATGGTTCAAATCCTTCAATTCAAATAGATCCCAGTATGTAGTCGTCCAAGATCAACGTCTCTCTGAGACACATCCCCTCTCCTGCGGCGTCCTTCAGTGTTTCTCTTCATCTCCTACTCTGTTTGCTGTTTAAATTAATGACTTTTTCCTCCTGATCCATCACTCCCAATATCATACCTATACAGATGATTTCCAAATATATTCATGTGTTTTTAGTTCCTCATTAAATAGACAAAGTTTACTAATCTTTATACTGAAAACATCACATTCCTGAGAATTTTAATAAATAAAATCATTGTAGATTATGATAATATGAAACCATTTACAGTTTTAAATGGATGGTAATAATTTGAAAAAAAAAGGGATCTGTTGTAGTGCAGACTGAAAGCTATTTTTTTATTGTAATACATTTTCTGCTTTTTTGTTTTTCAGTATGCTCTTGAGCGGTTGAAAGTAATGTGCGAAGAAGCACTATGTACCAACCTGTCTGTAGAAAACGCAGCCGACACACTGATCCTCGCAGATCTACACAGTGCCGAACAATTGAAGGCACAAGCGATTGACTTTATTAATACGTAAGGGTAACTTTTATGTTATTTTTATTTTTATTCACTCTCCTGTAGTACACCGAAGAATGTTTATCTGATATATATATATACAGGATATTTCAGAATTAAGTGGCCACGCTGCAAAAATTAAGTAAGGACTTCAAAACAAGAAAAAAAATTTCCTCTGAAGGTGTATCCGCAAACGCTTTGTTTAGGAGATATTCACACCTAAAGGTTTTCGTTGTTATTAATTAAATGTAAACATTAATATTCATATTAAATGTTGTTCAAAGTGAAGGTATGTCCGCAAACGCTTTGTTTAGGAGATGGATTAGATGGAATACTATTGGCCGTGCAGGACCAGTGGCTTGGTTTGCACGCTTCACTGGGTTTGTTTGGGGTGACATTAAACAAAAAGTATTTGCAAGTCCGGTCAATGACCTTAATTTCTTACGAAGAAGAATAATTGAATCTTGTGAAACGTATCCAGTGCCGTTCTGCCACTGCTGCTGTTGAAGAAAAATGCCGAGCCTATCCTAATGCTCAAGGAAATCACTTTGAACAACTTTTAATATGAATTTAATGTTTACTTTTAATTAATAAAGTAGTTGGCACAAATAAATAAGTTTTACTTAATATAATGTAAATAATTCATAACAATGAAAATCTTTAGGTGTGATTATCTTATAAACAAAGCATTTGTAGGCATACTTTCATTGGAAATTTTTTTCTTGTTTTGGGGTCCTTAGTTCCTTTTTGCAGTTAGGCCACTTAACGCTGAATACTTTCACTCAGATTACATCACGGGCGGTTCTACGGGGGGAGGGGGGAGGGGAGGGCTTTCGGGCTGAAGCCCCCCCTCCCAAAATGGAAAAATATAACCATGTTTTATGGGAAAAAAAATTAAAAAATACCTCTTAAAGTATTATTGTTCGTGTAATTACGTTTAAAAGTACTTAAGGAATAACTTAAACACCATTTCATATAGGTAGTTAGTTTCTTTCTGTTTTTCCAGTTTTTATGAAAAAAAAAAGGTTTCGGGCTGAAGCCCTCCCCCAAAATTAAATCCTGGATCCGCTAGTGGATTACATTACACTGTAGTTAAATTCTTCATTCATTACGGCAGCTTCAATCACTTTCAGTGAATTTTGTTCTCATTTTCATTTTGGTATTCATTTTTTCTTTTTGCGTAATATATTTCTTATATCTTGGTAGATAAACACTGCCGTCAGCTTTAGAATCCGCCTTCAACTAAGTCTTTGGATTAAATTTTATTTATATGAAACAGTTAAATAAAATTAATCTCTTCAATAATTTAAAATAGCTATCTGTTACTATTTATATTTGTGTTTATAGTATATTAATTGTTAAATTACTGTTTTCAGACATGCGACCGACGTTATGGAGACGGGAGGATGGAAAACAATGATCACCTCCCACCCTCACCTGATCGCCGAGGCATTTCGAGCCCTCGCGACGCAGCAGATCCCGCCGATCGGACCACCACGAAAACGAGTAAAACAGAGCTGAGGCGGAATAAGGGCGCCTCATCACTAAGCGACTGTACACTCACCTCTTTCCTAATCCCCCCCTCTTGTAAATAGTTTTCTCTCTTCGTTCGCAGCTAGGCCCTCTTGTCGTACATTTCTTTTCTTGTTCGTTTTAATTGATGTACTTTCATTTTGTAAGATTATCGAATTCGATTACAGTTCTCTTTTACGCAATCCAACCGTCGACAAGTACAATTAGATTTAATCGATGAGGAGAAAACACGTTCGAATTTGTTGTCGTTGATATCTAGTCCTACGCTGAACTTTCAGCCAATCAAACTCATTCAATGCTTATCGATATATTCATTCATCAATCATTATCCATGTTTTTTTTTATCGTTATATAGTATAATTTATTGTTCGATAATGTTAACATTTTTTGTGATAGTGGCAACAAAATGATTTAAAACTTAAAAAGAAAAAAAAAAAAAAGATTAAAACGAAACAGGGATCTTGTGAGTGTATGGTTCTGAATTAGCTATCGTGGTGAGATAGTGTTCTAGCCTAGTTGAATACGAACGCATTGTAACGACTACAATGGCGTACGTTTGAAACGTTCCTGTTAATTGAATCGCCTCAATGGTAAGAGACTTCTGGCTGAAGACGATCTGGAAGAGAATCTGTGATATCTCTATGACGTGAACTGTAGGCCAGTTGCTTCTGCGGATGGCATTTATTGTTATTTTCAATGTCGGATATTTGTATATAAATATATAAATTGTATGTATGTAGGGAAAAATTGCATGTAATGCTATTGTATTTTTTTTTATATATATATTTTTCATTTGTCAATCATTTTTTTATTTATTTTTTTTGCTGAAATTCGGTCGAGCAGGTCTCTCCAAACATTTCCCCCCTCTCTTGAGTTAATTATGTTTTTTTTTCTCTCACTTTTTATTCAACCCCAAATCCTTATTAAAAGCCCTGGCATTTCTTAATACCAAAGTCTTTCATTTTTGGAAATATTTATTTGTTCGTTTGCATTAAAAATATATTATATATATATTTAAAAAATAAAAATAAAAATGGACAGAAGTTGGCAGCGAGATGAAGGAGTGAGGTAGCCGAGCGACATAAACTTCCCCCGATATTAAATGCCATAAGTGTTCTGTGATACAGCGCCAGGACCATTGCGTATGTGTGCTTTAGTTTATTTCATGTGTTCACGATGTAACAATAGTTGGGTTGCATATAGTCTCGTAAGTATTTTCATTGTTAATCATTAGCTTTGTTTAGGAGTGCGAATCGCTAAACGTTTCGAGTTTTTTTTTCTTCTCTAATTTTACAAAAGATGGAGAATATATCAAGTACAAGTTAATAATTGTTACCTCATTTAGACATTCATGTTTGTAACTATTAATTGTATTAAGAATAAGGAAATATGTTTAATTTTTAAGGTATTTTATTAATTTAAAAAGATGTGTAATGAAATAGTCCTACCAAACTTGGAACAAACAAGCAAGCAAAAAAAAAAAAAAAAAAAAAGATATTAAACAAAAAAAATAAAATAAAACACCCGTTAATTTTTTTTCTTTTATTTCTTAAATTGTTAAATTTCCTCGCCGTAAAAGAATTTTTGCTTTTTATATTAGAATTGCTTTATATTAATTTAGGTACAATAAATTGTAAAATTGGGACTCAATAAAATTACTAAATTACTGTGTCTGTAAGTGACTGGAGTACTGAGGTATAAAGAAGTATCAAGTATGAAGCATCTAATAAGAGCTTAATTGTATAACAGTTTCTTCCTTCTTTGATATATTTTCATTTCAAACTGTTGTCTATATTCCAAGGTATAAAATAAAATAAAAACTACTGTGTTTCATTGAGTATAAATTTATATATAAATTATTCCCTGCCATTTTTTAGTTTTTTAAGTGTAATAACAATATCAGCTATTGTAATTAACAACTATTTACACAAGAAATGGAGCAGTTCACAATCATTTTTCCACAAAAGAGAAACATATTCATCATTATCTCCTAAAAACTTTCACTTTTTTTATATTTGTTGTTAATTGAAATATTGTAAGCTATTATAATAATATTGTCCATGGCATTACAAATATAAATATATATATACAGGACTAAATATATCATCAATTCAAGCGACAGGATCGTACAACAGAAATCATTTAAAAAAATATTCTGTTGCACATTTAATTAATATTAATACAAGATGTTTATCGTATATAAAAGGCACGCCAGATCTTTCATGTCCAAATTTGAATTCACACTTGCGACGGCGACGAATCGACTAGTTGGTGAGCGATATCAAAGCTTGCACGACATCTCCTGAATGTTCTCTCAATGTCCTTTCAGCATGGCTTCTACCCACTTCTAGCTCTCGCACCTGAAAACAATTAAAACATTAACTTAAAAAAAAAAAAGTATCAATTATACATTCATTTGGCTTAACATCAAAGCTTAAATTTGAAACAATAGTGGTAATTTTTGTTTAAAGAATGTTTCGTTGGAGAGAAGTTGAGTGAGGATTGCAGTCATTAGAAGTACAAAGTAAAAATAGATTATATTTATTTTCGAAGGTAGATAATTTTTTACTGTAGAAGATATCAACGGTTTATTGTGCATAGTCACTAAGTGTATTTTTGATATAGATTAACTTTCAATTATATTTTTGTGAATTTCAGCCTTTTTTATAGTTAAAAAAAAAAACAATAAGTGCACTAAAATGGTACAAACCCTTTTATTTATCAAATACATTTGCAACAAGCGCAAAATGTTCTGATTTCACAAAGGGAAAATTCATCAAAGTCCTTAATATTTTGCGGTTATGAAATAAAACTTAATTTTTGGAATAAACCGACGATATATTGAAGAGAAGTTGGGGGTAGTCTTTTTTAATTAAGTATAGCCAAATTATTTATTTTTGGCAATTTTTTAGAAATAACAATTCATAAAAGATTAAATGTTTTATACAAAGTCATTATTAAACAATAGGTTTATTTTATCGAATAAATCTAACCCATAATTTAAATTTCATTTCACACTCAACAGAACAATAAGTTATAATGATATAGTTGAAGAGAAGGATGGTTGGGGTGATCAGTCAAATTGAAATGGTAAAAAATAAATAAATAATTTTATTTATTTTTACATTCGCCGACATTTCGGCCCCGAAGCTCAGGCCTTCATTAGGACTGGAAAAAGAACCAGATGACAATGGGTATAATAACATTGAATAATACAGAATTAAGATTTAAAAAGGTGATAGGTTTAGATTAATAATTTTTAGTAGAACAACTTGTAAAATGAAGTGTATAGAATGAACATTAAAGTAAAACAAAGTAGGTAGAATGATAACAGTAACAAAAGACAGACCAATGAAATAAGCATAATAAAATATAAGGTAACGTAAGAAATGAAAATGGTAATCTAGAATCAAGTGTAAAACAGAGAGAAGAAATATGAAGTTATATAAGGAAATAAAAGATATAAATAGAACACTAAGATATTGTAAAATCTATCAAAAAAATATAATGTGAACAAACAAAAAAAGGTATGAGGACATGTATCATAAATAGAAAATAGAGATGGATATGGAAAATAGAGCGACGGGAAGGATGAAGAACAGGAGAAAACTGAAATAATAAAAATAAACAAACCTGCTGTACAAGAAGTGAAGTCAGACAAAACGCAATTATAGCTGGAGAGAGGGGAGCTGGCAGATGGTGCCCTCTTTAACATTTGTCCGAAAAATGAACTAATATGATGGACGAGAGATTTATTTATGATTGACGTAAAAAGTGAGATTAAAGAAAACAACAAAAAAGGAATTTCTTTAATGAGATTGAAGAAAAAGTCGAAACGTTGGTGAATGTAAAATTGATAAATTTATTTATTTTTTTACCATTTCAATTTGACTGATCATCCCAACCATCATTCTCTTCAATTATTCACTACAGTCAACCATAAACCCTCAATTATAATGATTCAGGTTATAACCTCAATGGAAGAATCATAATAATTTATTAAATCTTATCTATTTGACAAATAACTAATAATTCTAAATAAATGATAAAAAATGATCAGCGATACATAGGTAAAAAAGACACTCAAACTTATTGGTTGGAGTTTTCAGTCAATGAAGGTACAAAGTAAAAATAAACTATATTTATTTATATTTCCTTAGTGCTGACGTTTCAGCCTAAGTTTCAGGAATAATTTAAGACAAGATAACGTATAAATATTGAGAAAATAGTAGACAGTAACAATAATAATAATATGAAGGTAGAAGTTAAACTTCAATTAATATGGAATGTATGATACATAAATTAAGGATGTGTAATATAAAGTAGTGGTAAAAAAGTTAGAAACTTATGAAATAACGCAATAAAACAAATTTTGTCTGTTTATAAAAATAAAACAAATCTTGTCTTTGCTAAATCCTGAAACGTCGATACAAAGGAAATAAAAATAGATAGAATTTATTTATTTTTATGAGGAGTTGCGTCGGTATTTTTTACTTTGTACTTCCAACGACTGCAATCCCAAATCAATTTCTCTTCAACAATATCTTCCATCACAAAGAATTTTTCATTTGAATTATATAAATAAATATAATTAATAATAAATTATGAGAATTGGTTAAAAATGATGTTGAATAACAATTGGCTTTTTAATAACGTCAGATGTACACATTTGATACAAGCCAAAGCTGATAATCCCTATGGGTAAGTAATACAAACATAATTTACACACCTCACACTTTTGATATACTAGTTTGACCCATGCAAATAATTAAGAACGAATATAGGCCAGTGAACAAGTAAGAAAATTAAATAATTCAACACATAAGATGAAGGAAGCGTTTTTCATTAATTTTTATTGACATAGGAAAAGAAATTATATATAAAACTTCATTCATGTTTTAAACCAAAATTATTACAAATCACAATAATCCCTATCTCAGCTAATAATGGTCTCAATTAGATGATATTTTTTTTTAATTTTTATTTTGTAGGGAATTCGGCAATCTTTCGAATAATCATGGGTACGATCCACAAAAAAAAAAAAAAAAAAAAAAAAAAAAAAAAAAAAAAAAAAAAACTTTCAGTTTATTGTTCACAAATTAAGTTTCTTTTCCTGAAATTTCGGGGGAATGTGACTGTTTTTCCTACCTACAGAATATCTCCAAAATGATGGTTCAAAAGTTGTATTTGATTGCATATGGCGTACCGACAAAAAAAAAAAAAAAAAAAAAAAAAAATCACACCTTTGAGAAATAATATTTGAAGATTATTGCTTTGATATAGTCTCTTGAATTAAAAAAAAAAAATTATTTACAATCTAATTATAATTAATTCTGTAAGTGAAAGAGTCATCTTAGCCTAAATAGAAGAGAAAATACAGCAGTGATTTAGATGACTCCTTGTTCTACAATAATATTTATGCGGTTTATAGCTACCCTGACCTTGTTCACAATAAAAACAATTTAATTAGGTCTAATAAAATTTGCGATTTTACTATCCATATTTACTGAGTTAAGTATTACTGGCCTAACCCTTAAAAGAAGAGAAAATTACAAAATTAATTTCCTCTACTGTAAAACAAAATGGGCATTAAGTTTTATATGATAAATATTTTCCCAATTTAAAATTAGTTAGTGGAAATGCAAGGAAAGTAGTCAAATTTTTTTTTCTAGTGCATAAAAATTTTTCATTTCGAGGGTTAGGCTGATTGGCATTAATATGTTAATAATGAGCAGTCGAAGTATGAACAATTAACTATTTCTAAGAACTTGGTGATATTAAACATTAAAACTTACTATTAAGTCCACATCTTCTTTACTGATTGAAACTTTTGCTAATTCCCTTTCCTTGGCCATTTTTTCAGCGACTTCCTTATTTCTCCTATCGCCAATCAAACTCATGGCCTATAAAACAAACAGAATATCATCGAATTTAATAAAAAAAAATTAGAAAACAAGAGTTGAAAAAAACATTTTAAATATTAGATACCTCATATGGACTTACGCATCGCAAATCTATTTATTTTTTTTAATTTTAAGTTAGGAATAGGTAACAACCTCCCTTATACCTGACATGACTTATACCAGATGTGCATATAAAAATAAATGTTAAAAAATATATTAGATATAACATTGTTTAATTCTAACATACTTGGAAAACTTGTTTTACCTTTATTAAGCTTCTAAAACATAAATGATTTATAAGCTTTGACTTTGGGCATTATAAATACCTAAACTAAAAATGTAATGCCAAAAAGTAATTTTTTGTGAAATAGAAGTTCTCAAAATTTATATTAATGGTGGTTAAAATTAAAAATTGCACATATAAAGAATTTTTTAATGATGAAACTAAACTAATACGAGGCAATGAATAATACTTAATTTAGTTTTCATGCATAATTTTACACTTAAACTTAACAAATTCAATGTGTTACAATTTTTGACAATTTGGAAAGCTACAAATTTGTAGAATAGATTTATATTATTTATTTGAGAAATTAGTGCAAAAAATAACATTCGATAACAATAAAAATAACACCTGTCCTTTATATATATACATAAAGAACAGATATCTAAGATAAGCATGGTAATAACTCTCATAATAATATGATCGACAAAATAAAAATTGTTAAAGTTAAATAAAATATTAAGTCAGTTTAAATTAAAAAAAAAGAAAAAGTGATGGAGACAGTTATGAATAAAATTAAATTAAAATTATTTTGGTACTTTTCAATATGATGAACTCATTGAATAACATTGTTTATAAATTATCTAAAATTTTTCATACAACACAAGTATCTCTCCAACATGGTAGGAATAAGGAAATCTTAAAACGGCAAAGTATTGATAAGCACAATCACGCTTATATCTGTTTAGATACAATGAGTCTTTCAACTTTTGCTCTTAAAGCTTACTGAAATAATATAAATCACCAATGGGTGTTTTTCAAATGAAATTTAGGTTTTACCAGAAGATCGATCAGCTTCATCTACTTTTTGAATAACTTGGCCACATTCATAATTCGACCTATAGTGTGATCCTGTGATTATGAGTCCAGTCACCATAATGGAATGGCCCTTCTAAATTACTATCATAACAATAACTAACATACTTAACAAAACCACTGTATTATTGTTGCTCCACTTCGATGGGTGGCACAAGATCGAACTATAAATGGAATACAGAGTATGACCAAGTGTATCCGAGTTTAAAGTTGAAAGCAGTGATGTAATTAAAGCTAATAAAGGTCTCTATTTAGCTGATGAATACCAGGTAAGAGTTTGCGGAAGTCATAAATAAACAGAGGTTTGACAACACTTGGCCTTTTGTTTGGAATCCCATTTATTACGTAATTATGAGATCCTTGGTCTAGATGTCAACATGGACCAATACTTGTAGAATAATACAGTTACCATTAAAACAATTATCAATAACATGAGATTAGCTTGGTCTTGGCCATTAGGAATTAGCGCAAGAATCCTTACATCATAATCTTTGGGAAAAAGTAATTTCATTCATTATACATTATAAGTGTATAATAACAGAGTCCGTAAGAGGAGGAGGGAAAAGGAGTAAAGTGTCACATAATTTCATGTTTCTACATCCCTTACAACTAGTGAAATATAGAATTTTCATAGATAAAGGTGAAAGAAAGAAAACATAATATTATTCTAGAACATTTAGTCTAATTATTTTTTAAGAATAATTAATATAACGAATAAAATGACGTTTGAGTAGGATAAGAAGACAATCAAGAATTAATTAAGTTAAATAGTTATCTAACCCAAAAATAAAAGAGAAGCATAAGAAAACATACAAAATTATGGGTGATAAGTAGTTAGGGCGTATTCATTTTTAAGGTTCTTATTAGTGCCGACATTTCAACCCAAGCATGTGGGTCATTATCAGGGCGTGTTTCGAGCACTTAAGGTGTTTAAGTGCGTCGACACTAATCAAACCTTAAAAATGATTTGTGTCCTGACTATCTACCACTCATGATATGAAGAACAGACAAGCATAATAATCCAGCAATTTATCGTCCTACATCCCCTACCCTACCTACGAAGAACAGTCGACCAACTTCTTCAATATAAAATTATAGATACGAATCTGTAAGATAACAGTAAAATGAAGCTGAGAGCTTAGAAATACAAAAATACTATTATTACAATTATTCGGAACATTGATTGCTGAGATTGAAAAATAAAAGGTATTTAAATGAGGATTCGCGTATGCAGGTAGGTATGGAATTCCACAATCAGGTAGTACTAATGAAGAAGAAATAAACAGATTTGTGGGCTGGGATCTTGTTTTAAACTAATAGATAGAGGAACAAGGAATAAACAAATCAAGAAGGTTATTTGGTTGTTTACATTCAGAACAGACTAGAGCCACTTCAACTCAGTATACTAACAGGACACATGGGATACCTGAGGACTCGAAAGATTAGTCCAATGAAACAATTTATTAGTCTCTTCAATCGGATTTCAAGCCTGCCAAACAATCCACCATATACAAGGTAGAAATAATCCAAGGAAAACGAGAGAGGGCATTAAAGAGCTGGCAGGTTTTTAGGGACATAGAGTCACAGAATCTCAGGAAATGTTTCAGGGTAGCAATAAATTTCAGGATAATTCGGGAATATGATTACTCCAAGACAGGCATTGATCAAACATTACTCCAAGATTTCTAACAGTAGTGTGGAAACCAACAGATAATCCATTAAGGTAATACAGGATTAACATGAAAAAACTTGCGATTGTTTGAACTATACATGCTCTTCTTAACAGTATGGTAATGAGAAGTAAATTGTCTTTCATTGTTTTCTAGGATTATGATTCATTAGTGTTAAAAATCATTTATTTTTCCAGTGCATTGATAAGAAAACATAACCTCTACTAATAATGCGAGCGTGTACTTACACCTTTAAACTCATCTGCGGAGTAAATTTCTTTCTCTTCGGCATAATCGGTGACCCTTTCTAAGTCGGCAGCACCAGAATCATGTTTTGCAGATTTTTTCTGCGAGGAATCGTCGGCTTTTTGTTGCGGCTCATCGGAATCTCCGTTGACTTCGTGCTCGTCATCGGCCATTTTGAAATTTATAAAGTTCCTGTGAAATTGAAAAACAGCTGACAGATGAAAATTTCCGGCCACGTTATGGCTACCGAGTGCCGTGTATTTGAGCGGTGATGTGAACGATATGTATTGACTAGAGGGTTCAATTCTAATGTGTCATCTGTGATCTGTGACAGTAATTAAGGATACAAAATGAAACCGTTCAACATTAATTTATACTCTGTAACTCTCATTTTGGGTTTGGTACATATATCTTGTTCCGTTGAACTCACCTTCGAATTGCTCGATAACGCCAAAGATTGTTTTTTTGAATTTATTGAGAAAAATACAACAGCGACTTTGGAATTTCAGGTAATTGTATTGTATTTATATCCACCAAGAGTTAAGTACTTTAATGATTATGTAAAAGCTTCAGGTAAGTCAAAGTTTTCGCCATAACCCTGTTATCTCAACATTGATAATGATTTAAAACGGAGGATACGAATTTTATGTAAATCCATCGATTAAAATTAAATTTCAATACATATTAAAGTTGTTTTCACGAATTATTGTTTATTTTCTTGTACCTTTTTTTGTGTTGATATGTAGTTTTAAGGGTTGATTGATATGATAAAGATTTTATCAGACATAGTGTCATATCAGCATAACAAGGTGGATGTAACATAATTGTATTAATTTAAATATGTCCCTTTGCCTTCCATTGAACAAATTACATCAAGTTTGAAAAATAATAAATTTTTGGATGGCTCATTTCGAGCATGAACTTCAATTTTTTAGGTGTGCCATAAAGATTTTTGTCGATTAGAAGTTCAATATTTAATGGTTCATTTGTTTTTATATTTACTCTTAATTTGTTTTAAATTTTGTTCGAAATATTGTCTGTTTATTACAAATACATATTAAATGATATTTCATAACCTCAAATAATCAAGAACTTCGATGTATTTTCCCTGAAATCAGAAAATTGTTCACATATAATAGTTATATATAGTAAATAAAAGGGTTTGTGTCGTTTATATGCATTTATGGTGTTTTTATACAGATAAAGAAGGTCAAAATTCACAAAAACATATTTGAAAGTTGACCTGTATCAAAAATGCACTTGGTGACTTCTTGCTATAAACTGATGATATATTCAATAAATTAGGCGTTTCCTCAAGTAGAATAATTTAATATTTATGATAAAAAGGAATTAGAAAATACCTTAATGTAACAATAATTAAAAATGTGTTGGTTCTTATCACAAATTACTTATCATATAATCCAGTGATTTGTAAATTTTTATGAGTATTTTTTTCTGAAGATTCAGTTTAATTTATGAGAAGGTAGAACTAGTTTTATTTTATTTTTTATATCATTGGAATTTATACTTTTTTACTCAGAAGTTAGACTGGCCTTGGTTCTATTTCATGAGAGTTCCACACAGATTAGGTGTGCTGTGCTTTAAAATCATTTCGGTCACAAGTGCACACACTATTATTGAATTTATGAAGTGCGGATTAAATATTCAAATCATCAAATGAAAAAAAATTGGCAAAATTTATTACAATTCAGATTGTATTTTATATTATAATTTATTACAATTATACGTTGTCAGTACATTTTGATAGCCTTTACAATATCTCAATTTTCTATCTAACTATTCTATTTGCAATATCTTAATTTTATTATTTATTTTTATTTCTTATACAACTCCATATTCCTTTTTTCTGTTTTACATTTTATTCTAAGATTACCATTTTAATACTTATGTCATCTTTTTTTATTATGTTTACTTCATTATTCCACACTTTGTAACGGTTATTATTATTTATATCTTAGTTCTTATTATTGTCATTATTCTATCCACTTAATTTTACTTTAATTTCTTTACCTACATTATTTATGTTTCTCAAACCTTGATATCTGGTTCGTTTCTTAGCCCTGATGAAGGCCTGAACTTCAGGTCGAAACGTCGGCAAATCTTAAAATAAATATTATTATTTATTTTTACCTTTTTATTTCTGACTGATCACCCCAACCATCCTTCTCTTCATTACTCACGACAACCAACCATCAATCCACTATTTATTACTTTATTTTAATGAACAAGTTGGAGTATAGTATCCTTGACAATTGCTTGTAATGTGATTAAAATTGTGCTAGTATCAGATATTAATTTATAAGTCAGAAGTGGCAAAATTATATATTTATTAATAAGCAAACAATTTTAATAAATAAAGGAAGAAGATGGCCCGGGGTGGCGGTCATAAATAGGCTGAATAGTGGCAAAACTATTTTATTAGAAGCCAATGTTTTAATAAATATAATAATGATACTAGAGAAAATTCAATTGAATTTTTTCAATTATTAAAAAATATATTTTAAGAAGTGCATGTCAAATTGCAGTGGCATAATGATTTTATTTTTAACAATAACTATGTATAGTCCGCAGTACAGACCTCCTTTTATCAAATCATTATCATCTGTCTAAAACTTCATAATTGACTTCATCTTATCGCAACTATAATTTTTTATATATGACAATTCCCATAAATCTGGTGTTTTCTCATTAAATTAAGCAATTTAATGAGGTACTACAAATTCATGAATACTCATTTGTTTTCCACTTGAATCGTAAGATAATTTGATCACAAAATCGAGAAAAAAGGTGGCCTACGAAAACATTGGACTATTTGGCCTATTTAACTCGTTATTTTGACATGTTGGGGTAGAGGTTACGCTAAATGGCCATCTGTTTTAATTTAGCCATCTTTTATTTACTTAAACAATTTTAGTAGGCCATCTTTTTTCTTGATTCTAAGACCAAATTATCCTTTCGATTCAAGTAGAAAGCAAACAGATGTTCATGAATGTTTAAGATCTCATTAAATGGGCAAATTTTACCGATATCCAGATTGAAAACTTCCCATATCTGAAAATTTTCATAAATAGAAATGTTTTAGATTATAAGACGGAACATTATACCACTTTTATGCAGTTTACTACTTCTTTCAGTAAATCCTTCTTCATTCGTGCTACCTCCTTATGGAACTCCTTACCCATCTCCGTACGTCAAACCACATCCATAAACTCCTTCAAACAACTCCTATTCACCACCTACTACAAATTCAAACTTACGCAAGCTTGTAAAAATTTCTGGGTCATATAACTACTTTGGCCACCAGCAGTTAATTGATAGAAGTCATTTTATTTTTATTTATTATTTTTTTATATCTCAGTATTTATTGTATATATCTGTGTTTATCGTTAGTATGTTTTGTAGATATTTATATTTTCCTTTGTATTTTTTGTATATATTTGTATTTTCCTTAGTATCTTACACTAAACTGTGTGTGCTTACAATTTCCTAGGTATTTTTTTTTATATATTTGTATGATACTTACATGCCAGACTAATGTACATATTTTTTAAACTCTACTATTATTCTACGGGAACTTCAGTCACAGAATAAAATTATTTAAAAAAAAAAACATTCAAAAAGTTTTAGGTGGATAGTAATAATTAAATAAAAATGGTTCTGTACTGAATACTACTAATTTTTAATAAATCAGATCTAGTTTTAATAATTAACAATGTTAAAGATTTTATACTTAATATGGCTTTCCTTTTATTTAATGTTATTATATTATTCTTACTTAATTCTCTATTCTGTCTAAATATATATGTATATTTTTTACAGGTAGTGACGGGAGGATCGTATGATGTTGATGTTTCATTAGAAGCTCCTAACTCAGAAGTTATTTACCGGCAGTTGAAGGCACAATTTGATTCTCACACATTTGTAGCCCCTCAGACGGGAGAATACGCTGCCTGTTTCAGCAATCAGTTTTCCACTTTTTCACACAAGCTAGTCTATATGGACTTCCAAGTCGGAGATGAACCCCTCCTGCCTGGCCTGGGAGAACATTCAACCGTCATGACTCAGGTTTATATTTTTTAATCAACAGGAGATATTTTAAAAATAATATAGGGTTGCGACTGATCTGGAAAAATTGGAAAAGTCAGGGAATTTTCAAAACAGGGAAAAGTCATAAAGAAGTCAGGGAAAAATTGTTATAGTCAAGGGTTTTTTTTTTAGTACATAAATATTTTTTTCAAATTGAAAATAAATTGGATATCATTTATTATGACCATGAAGGGGTAAACTTTGTCGTTATAAATGACTGCGATGGCTATATTCATCCACCTTTGACCATCAATAACGGCAAAGGTAATCTTGAAACCAAGCAAGGATAATGAATGAAATTCAAACAAAATGTACTTAAAACACTTCTTTTTAAAATAAAAACATACTAATACTATTTATTATTTCTACTAATTACATCTGGGTCAAGATCTGGCTGGCAAGTATTCATTTGTTCAATCCATGGTACTCTTTAAAAGAGCATTTATTAATCAGAAATATCGAATTTGGTGTCGTATGGATAATTATTATGCTGTTTATAATAATAAAGAAACGAAATTACTTATGAGGAACTACATTAATATTAGAATCCCCCATAGGTCAGTTTATTTTATAATAGAGAAAATCAGAGCTTTATATGTCAAGTATCAACTTTTACCTTCTCTCAGTTTATGAAAATAAAATAATGATAAAAATAAATTAATAAAGGTTTAGATTTCTAAAATAAAAATCGTAATCAAGCTTATAAAATACTTTCTCTAAAACATTATATTTGTTATTTAAAAAACTGATTTTTTTTCTTTCTTTCTTTTTTTTTTACTCAAATCATTTTTTAGTAAATTTTCTTTCATATATAATAAACAAATTTAATTATAAATTATACATTTTTAATATTTGTGTCCTCATTGACATATTGTCAGGGAAAAAATTCATTAAATAGGGAAGTGTCAGTGAATTATACTTTAACAGTCTGGTAGCCACCCTGTAATATTAATAAATACTTTGGTCGTCTCTGGAGTCATCGTGATGTCTTTTGAATATGTTGTGAATATTTAGCTTTGGCTCCAATTCCCTGACAGTCTATTATTAGAGGGCGTGGTGTAGCTCAGTGGCAGGGCATTAGTCGTGTATAGACTCTGGGTTTGGGAGACCCTCCTAGGGCACACCCTGCCTTTATAAAGTGGGCAATCTTAATATTAAAAAATTCTTTAAGGGGACAAACCTAGCAGTTGAAAGTGATCTCAGTCAAATCACCTCCTTCCACAGCCGTTGACCAAGAGACAGTACTTCCTTACTATGTACTGAACCCAAGACTAAAAATTCACGAATAAAATGAACATGTAAAAATGTTGGACTTAGTAATGAAAGAATTCCTAAATGGCTATTATGCACGGTGCCGACTGGTAAACGTTCGAGGGGTAGACCAAGACGAAGGTGGGAAGATTGCGTTTAGGCTGATCTAAGGGACTGGTTTTGGACGACAATCGGTGGAGGAATTTGTGTTTAAAGAGATTGGTAGTGTCGGCATTGAACCTTTGGGTTTGCTAAGCCCCCAATATTATTATTATTCATATGATTTACCATAAAATATATAATGAGGAAAGTGATGATCTGGGGTGAAGGTTATAAAATAGTGGAAACTATTTATTAAGCCTACATTTCGACCCAACTATGTAGGTCTCCATCAGGGCTAGAAACTTTACATAGATCAGTTACATAACTTATTTTACTTCTGTTTAAACGGTAAATTATTTTTTTATTTCTGTAATTTATTGTATATGTGGTGTCCTTTTTATTTATTTATAAAGCTGAGACATTTCTTGATGTTCAATTGAAAGCAAAATGTACATAGATAGTAAAAATACTTTCATCATAAATTGTTTTATTTCAGAAGCATGATTCAATGTAATGTTTTGAAGGGTTTTTCTGATAATCTTTATTTCTTTTATAATGGACTAGCGATGTTCCCGTCGTTGACGGGTGTATAGTTAAAATTTGAGAATCTTTTTTTGGGATGGGTTTTGTATTATGGGGAGAGGAGGGCCCAAATTCAATTTCATAAAATTAGTTTGGGAGGGTGGATGGGCTGTTTTGAATTTATTTATGGCGATGCTTATGGAAGTCAAGGTTTCGCAATAGTCATAAAAACTTTGTTTTTTGGCTATTTGTTTAGGTATCAAACAACTAAACCGACCATCACCGATCCATTAAAATTTGTTAAGTGTTTAATTTTCATTTATGATGAAAATACTGTGGCTCACGGAAGAGTAGGTTGGGATTAGAGTCGAAGTAACCGCTAAACCGGGATCTCTAAACAAATTACTCAAGAATTCATAACTTTGGTTATACTAAATATTTTGTTTTCATTTAAAGCCTGTGTTTTAAGTCAAGCAAACCTTAATATAATGTTAAAATTTCAAAAGTCTACAATAAGCCATTACTGAGCTTACCCCTGACAAAATTTCGTTGTAATGCGGACATACAGACAGATAAAAAAATTTTTTAAAGTGGATTTGGTGTCTGCAATATATGAAACGGAAAGATGTCATAAATTGCTGATTCTATACAATGTACAGACAAAACTTTATTTTATTTATATAGATATATTTTTTTGTGAAATGTCTATTGATTTATTTCATCTATATCTTAATCTTGCTCTTAAAATACTGAAAGATTCACTAAATAAAAGAAATAAAAAGATTTTTTTTCTGTTTGCATTCCAGACGCTTGTAGATTTTTTGCCGCCTTGACAAGCTTACTCCGTATCTGCATATCTTTGAGAATAGAGGAATAGTTTTAATTACTATTACTCACTAAATTTTGTATTTTATTTTGTATATAGATGGAGTCATCTGCTGAAAAGGTGCACAAGTCATTAGTTACCGTCGCTGACTACCAAACTCATCACAAGCTGCGTGAAGCACAAGGAAGAAAACGTGCTGAAGATCTCAACGAACGAGTGTTTTGGTGGTCCCTGCTAGAGACGATAGTAATTCTTACCGTCGGTTTCGGCCAAGTCTGCATCCTTAAAAACTTTTTCTCTGAGAAGAGACCTGTCCAGTACACAAGAATTTCGTAGGGAACAAAAAAAGTTTTAGAATAAAATATAATTTAATACCTCAAGTCATATTTTCAAAAATTTGATCTTTTTTCAATGTTCTGTTTTAATTTTTCTATCAGCGAAAAAAATAAAATTTAATTGTAATATCTTTGCAATCAATTCGTTGGTGTGCTATCTATTAAATAGTATTTGTATTAGGCAATGTAAGATAATTCTTGATGCTGGATCAGTTACGTAACTTATTTTACTTCTGTTTAAACGGTAAATTATTTTTTTATTTCTGTAATTTATTGTATATGTAGTGTCCTTTTTATTTATCTTCTTTTTTTTTTTTTTTTTTGTCCTCAAGAAACTGTTAATGGGTTTATATTCATTATTCCATTTATAAACCTGAGACATTTCTTGATGTCCAACTGAAAACAAAATGTACATAGTAAAAATACTTTCATCATTAATTGTTTTATTTCAAAAGCAAGTTGTAATGTAATGTTTTGAAGGTTTTTCTGATAATGTTTATTTCTTTTATAATGGATATATTTTTTTGTGAAATGTCTAATAATTTATTTCATCTATAGCTTAATCTTGTTCTTCATTCATTCTTCATTTGCTCATGTCGTTTAATTTTTTTCCTTGTAAAATATTAAATGAAATGCTCATTACATTCACTTATGAATAACAATTTATTTTTTAACCATTGATTGTCATTGTCGTATAAATATCATTTCATTAATGATTTGCAGAGATTTCTCCAAAAAGGATGTTTCCTCGTCAAACTAGGCTTTCAAAGTTTATTATTTTAATATTTTCTTCCGATATACGTGTATACAGTTGTATTCGGCTCTAAGCATTCTCTGCATGTCCTGTGTGCATTACAATCGTTAATTTCAATAAATCTCCATCAACTCACGGTAATCCATGAACACAGTTGACTTTTTTTTTTTTAGAAGTTTTAAGTTTCTTCTGTTCATTTATCCTAATTTTGGTGTCTTGAGGTTTTATTTTTTACATAAATTAGGCCAATTATTACCAACATTTTATTGATACGCAAATTCGACGTTTCGACCATACTAAGGGCCATTTTCAAGTCTTGATGAGTCTTACGTTATATATTCATCATTAATGATGCAAATAATTTGTTCAGTGAACATTAAATTGTCATGCTCTTTAGGGGTTTCGCCTACGTCATTTCTAGAGGGACTAAATGATGACATTTCCTTAATGATTTTCAGAGATTTCCCCAAAAAGGATGTTTCTTCATCAAACTAGGCTTTCAAAGTTTATTATTTTAATATTTTCTCCCAATAAAGGTGTATATACAGTTGACAAAAGAAACTTACATAGTGACATAAATGCACTTTATCTATCACACATTAATACAGAGTTGACATTTCGGGAAAATCTTTCCCACCATCAGAAATGTCTATTATTTTTACATATTGAATATTTAATAGTTGACCGTTGCATTATAAAGGAAGGAAATGGTCCGGGGTGGCGGTCATAAATAGACTAAATAGTGGTAAAAATATTTTATTAAAAGCCAACATTTCTACCCGACTTTGCAGGTCTTCATCAGGCATCGGTTATAGGTGAATAAAATATCATTAAACTCAAGCACAAGACATTTAGTGGTTTTGATAGAGGAGCAAATTTGTAAAGTCTTGTGCTTGAGTTTAATGATATTTTCTTCACCTATAACCAATCCCTGATGAAGACCTGCAAAGTCGGGTCGAAACGTCGGATTTCAATAAAATAGTTTTACCACTATTTAGCCTATTTATGACCGCAACCCCGGACCATCTCCTTCCTTTATTATTTTTACGTATGCGTGGTGCTCCCTTTGTCAATAACATTGTTTTTCTAATTTTACGGACATCAGGAAAACATCTCTTGGCCAACAATAGGTACCATTTATTAAGAAATTAGGTTACCTTTTCCCCCTCAATAAGTGATATCAATTGTTTGCCAAGAAAAACAAAACAAAATAGAATAGAATAGACAGTTCTGATGATGGAACTTTCCTGGAATGTCAACTCTGTATTAATGCATGACAAATGAAGTGGATTTATGCCACTACGGAAGTTTCTTTTGCCAAGATCACTAGAATTCAATCAACATTTTGTGTGGGCTCTATCTATATCTGTATATAAGGTGTCCTGTAAGTCGAAGGAAATATTGGAGTGATAGCTGACCTCGTGAGCTACAAAAGAAGTTCATATAAACAACTGCCTGAGCAGGAAAGTAAGAAATTAAAGTTTTATGTAAGCTACGTTTTTTGTAGAAGTGAAAGTGATAACTAAAAAGCTATTTAATTTAAGTAGTTAAAAATTATTTCGCTGTAAACTAGATAAAATATACTTCAAATTAAAGTAAAATTTGTCCTTCTTAAAACCATTTAAAGAGGACTTTTGAGCGGCTAAACAGCTAAATTCGCTTTTTAAAGAAATCATAAATTATTTGCGATAAATCATAAATTAATTTTTTTTACCATTCTCTACCTATACTACAGAAACCCCACTTTTGGAAAAACTTCCTCGTTTACTAAGCTTTAAGTTCATATGAATTAAATTAAGTTTTATGAAGGGAAAAATTGATATTCACATCAAGTTGTGTAAAAAAAATTATATTTCATATTTTGTTGCCTTAAGTACTCGTGTGTCCAGCCAAAATTACTACAATAAATTGTTGCAAAAGCTTTTATTTCTTTTTTTTTTCATGTTTGGGATGTATGGGGTCGTGATGTGTACGACTTCTTATCCAATGTTGATTAATGTTAACTTTGTTAAGAGTTTCTCTACTCATCTAGGCTGAGCTTTCTAGTCAAACTGCGGGCCTCCTCTTTTACCTACATTTAAAAAAAACAATATTGATATATCTTATCTCTAAAACATATATAGGTAAGTAAAATAAAATAAGAATTCTAGTTTATTCTTTTTACTAAATCCCATGAACTGACCTTAAGACTACAAAACTATTCTGATCCAAAAAGGAATAAGGCAAAGTTGGACAAAAAATCTTGGAACAGGCACAGAAAGGTTCTTAAAAGGCTTAATACTTAAACTAAGTTTTATTTTGTAAATTATAATGCATAAGTCTCATGAAAAAAAACCAACTAGAAGTATTATGGTTCATGTAATTTCATTACATTTTTTTTTTTTAATTGGGCTTCAAGCATTGTCAGACTTAAAGGGGATCATGGGCAGATCTACGGAGGAGAGAGGGGGGGGGGCTTTCGGGCTGAAGCCCCCCCAAAATGGTAAAATATAACCATGTTTTATTGAAAAAAATATCAAAAAGTATCTCTTAAAGTATTATTATTCGTGTAATTACATTTAAAAGGGCTTTAGGAATAACTTAAACACCATTTCACACAAGTAGTTAGTTTCTTTCTTTTTTTCCAAAGTAATTATCGTTATTTTTATAAAAAAAAAAAAACCTTTCGGGCTGAAGCTCCCCCCCCCCAAAAAATAAATCCTGGATCCGCTTGTGAAGGGGATGATAGCCACCCTCCCAATATTTCGAAGAAGAAAAAAATCAATAACAATTAACCTATTGTGTGGATCTATAAGTTCATTAGGTTTTTGTTAGTAATGTGAATTGTTTTCAAACATCTCCAGTTCTCTTTACCTTATCTGACAATAATGATACTTATTGGAAAGGTCAAAGTTTGTCTTCAAAACTGTTATTTTTGGTTTTATTTGTCCTACATCATAGTGAATATATCAAATGGTAAAGTGTATTTTCAAAAAAGGCAAGTGAGCTCGGAAGTATTACCTAAAGATATGTAAGACATACAAGGATGATGTCTTAATAGAACCTAATGCTCAAATGTGGTTTGGCTAGTTTCATTCTGGAGATACGAGTCTGAAGATGCACACCCCTGCGGTCGCCCCACCAAGGTTGATTCGAATGGTATCAAGGTTCTAATCTAACTAAACCGGTCTCTACAGATAAGAGATATTGAATCCAGATCTTTTAGAATCGTTAAAAGGCATTTAAAACAGTTTGGCTGGTGTCCCGCCTCGAAATTTGGATGCCACACAAACTGAGGCAAACCTGACCAACCAAATATCTGCAACTCTTCTGAACCCTCAGAAAAGGAACCCATTTCTCAAACTAAAAGTGATCATCTACCACAATGTAGTGTATAGTGGATCGTGGCCGGTATACACATCCGAAAAAGATTTTACTGCCGGTATGGTGGTATCGCGTTGTACTGTTTTACGAGTTGGTTCCACAAGCAAAAACGAATGATTCGAAGATGTACTGCACCTAGCTAACGAATTTGGACCCAACATTGCGACAGAAACTCCCAGACTAGTCAATTACAAAGGTTTTTATTCCACTATGATAACGCCAGACCACACTCCACAATAATCACACAGTATAGTTAGCACAGCTTGATTAGGATGTTATATAACACCCTCCATATTCTCCGGATCTTCCGCCATCTGACTACCATTTATTTCGGTCCATTCAAAATTCTCAATGGGAAATCGTTCGCTGATGAAAGAGATGTGGAAACGTATCTCGATATTTTTTTTCGCTTCTAATCCCCAGGTGTTTTACGAGAGCGGAATAATGAAATGGCAAGAGGTCATTAATAAAAAACGGGAATATATTATTGAATAAAATTTATTCTCTGTATGAAAAAAACTTGTTTTATTTCACCTTTCAAAAACCGAACGAACTTATGGATATTCCCAATACATGGATTCATAAAATGTGTAGACTAAAATCAACTAAGAAAAGTCGACTAGATGGTTAAGTTAAGGCCTGCGTACCACCCCTCTCTCTCCTCCAACTAGAAAGGAAATTCTGTTTCTATGGCTTCAAGAATCACTTAAACATAATTCCATATAGGTGGTACGTTTCTTTCCTTTTCTTCCAACGTAGTACTCCTTATAAATATATTTTTAAAAAACGTTTCAGGATGTAGCCTCCCCCAAAATTAAATCCTGGATTCGTTACTGGGTTTAAATGCTTCTATAATGTTAGTAGTTAACGATCTTATTAGCAACTAAAGAGTTATAATATAACCCTTTAGTTTCATTAATAAAATAATATATTATAAAAATACTCAAATTTTCGCCTCTTTAAAAGGATATCTGATTTTACAACATTTTGTGAATTTTCATTTGCGTATAGCTATCCGTCTTACATATTTTATAAATCTTACATACTTGATGTGTAAAATCTATAAATTAATGAGTTATATCAATAAGATGAGTCAAATATAAGGGACACAACAGCGTCGCCATGGGAACTAGGTGTCAACAAGAAAAGGGTAGCCATGGCGCCGGCTCTCCCCAGTCCCACTACATCTTCAGATAGTCTACAGAAATTTGAAACCGCATCTTCTAGTTATAACAGACACATTTCAGAAAGTTTTCAAACCATCTTCTTTTCCTATCTATATGGTAAGTCATCGTATAAGTACTAAAGTAGCTTTATAAAATTCTATTATTGAATACTACATACAAAATGTTTCAATTGATTTTGGGCATTAATTTGAACACAGACACAGATAATTGTATCAGATAAGAAGGTTTACTTTAAATTCATAAGTAATGAATAAATTTTGTGAAACATTGTTTTGTTTTGAAATAATCATTAAAAACATTTACGAATTTTGAAACAAAAAATATTTTGAACATTTTTTTTTGTTACTAAAGCTTCAATACATTAAATAATAATTATAGTACATATATATGAGTAAATAATAATAAGTGTAAAGTATAAAGCTAATTGCCGATAACAATATTTACGTAAAGGTTAAATTTATTTTAGATTGATCTAGTCAGTTCAAATTCAGAGATGGACAAAATCGGAATCAATCTTTAGATGATTAATACTGAAAAAAAAAACTTGATGACGACTTTGTACTTGATTCAATAGCACTATAATCTGTGACCTGATTACAATCGTCATCGGAAACCTGATTACGATTGAAATTGTGTAATCACGTAATCATAATTACTGTAATAGTATTATGATTATGGATATACCCATCTGTGGTTCAAATTGAATGATTTGCATAAGACGTCTATTATGCATTATTGACTCTTCTAATGTTTCCCTAACCAATTGTTGTTTTCAGGAGACTAAAGCTCGCATTAGTACGCCCGCTTTCGAAGACTTGGAGCAACAGGTATGTTTCTATCATCGTATTGTTTTAAAATCAACAATAATTTTGAAATGACACATTTCATTTGTATTGATAATGCAATGGCGAGAGAATAATATAAGCACAGTCATTTAGGATCCCCATAACGACAGACAAAAAACATTGATGGAACGAAACACTACTTAACCATATTATATTGTTGCATCTTTGATATTGAAAGGTGGGTGGTTTATTTTAATAATTGAATAAGAGATATCTCCAAATATGTTTGAGGTTGAGAGACCTCCGCGTGATGCTTATAGAAATATGTAATATGTAAGTAATGAAGAACTTATAAAAAATACAAATAATATAAAATAATTGTAATATACATTATGAAGGAAATGATATTATAAAGCTGTACTCATTAAAACCCATGAAGGGTCTTGGGTTCATTACCATATGTGGAAGTCCTGTTACAAGAACAACGGTTGTTCAGGGAGGTGATTGGGCTGAGATCACGCACAACCGGATGTGCCCCAAGAGAGTTTCACTACCCCAGGGTCGATCCACTGTTGATGAATAATTACTAATCATCAGCCGGATTCGAACCTGAGACCTTGACCTCTGGAAGTCGGTGATAACCCACTGAGCTACCCCGCTACCTAGATAATATTATAAGTATTAATAAAATAAAAAGTGGAGGGTAACGATAGAAGGGATGATAAGTAGATAATAATACAGTGTGCCCTTCTCATTATTTATCAGGTGATGGGTGTTGATTCGAGATTATCTTGCCATTCCTAATAAAATTCTGAGGAACGAAATGTGATCCGTGGTGTGCTTGCCTTCCTTGAATTCTGCGAAACAGCGATCTTTTCGAGGATAAGGCGTGTTTATCTCAACAACAGAATCGATAAGATCTTGGAGGCGCTCGAAAGCAGCGATATTCTGAAGAGGAATATGTGATCGGTGGTGGACATCCATCTTCTGAACTCTGCTAGATAGCAGCCATTTTTCTTCTAGCATAAGATCTGTTGGTTCTTTCAGGCGCTCGAAATCAGCGATATTCCACGCTGATGAGAGCATTATAGTATATCTTCTTTATTATATTTGTGCCCCGGAGGTAAAAGACACCATGTCCATTTTTTTTTTATTATTAAATAGCTTAGCAATTGAAAACAAATTTTAATAACTCGATCTTATGGATTGATTTTGGATTTTATGATGGATTTGATTTATTTCATATAACGTAAATAATTCATACAACGAAAATCTTTAGGTGTGAATATCTCCTAAATAAAACGTTTGCGGACATACCTTCAGAGGAAATGTTTTTCTTGTTTTGAGGCCCTAAGTTCATTTATTTTTGCAGTTTGGCCACTTGACCGTGAAACATCCTGTATATAACGATACAGGAAAGAGAAAGATGCTAACTACCTATATGAAGTGGTATATAGCTATATTAAGTGATTCTTGTAGCCCTATTAAATCAAATTACACTTGCAATAATACTTTAAGAGATAATTATTTTTTACCATATAATATGGTTACGTTTTACTATTTGGGGAGGCTTCAGCAAGAAAGTACCCCTCCCCTCGGTAGATCAGCCTGAGACAGGGGCAGAGAGAACTGGCAGCTGATGGATGAGCTGAAGGTTAAGGTGGTTCATGCATTTCAAAATATAAATTACATTGTTTTATAATCCGAATGTATTTTCATTATTATACACAATCGATTCATTTTGTTCACAGGACAAGCCTTTATCTGAACCAGTTAAACGCCCTTTAACAAAAGTAAGTATAAACAAATAAATAATAATTTTATTTTAACCAAAGCGTAAAATTGAATCATTACTGAGTTATTCATAATTATTAAATTTTAAAAGTTGTTTTTGTCCATATTCTATTATTATATTTTCCTCCCTACTCTGCCTTTAAGGCAATATGAGAGCTTGCAGCAGTGAGGTAATACACATGTCTGCTTAAAAAATCAATGCTGTAAGTTTATCTTTTACATTGTGAGGAATTGATGTGTACATCGCCTGCTTTCATTTGTTGTTCAATATCTCCTTCCACCATTTTCTTCTCCTTTTCTGTCCGGCGGACTTCGAGGCACTGTTTCTTCACTCCTCCAAGGAAGAGTGGGTTGGGTCCAAAAGTTTCTTTCCACCCGCACACAAAGCTTTTAAAGTTCCGTTTAGATATCAGTTGAGAGAACTCATTTTCTGTGAAAATGTTGAGCCTTGTCTCCCTCGTCTATTTGGACTTCATCAGTGGCTCATAGTTGGTGCAGACTACAATGATGTGTTTAGCGGTTTCTGGTACACCACAATTGGTCGATATTTTTACCATGTTGGAATAGCTTCGCTATGAAACCCCCACGCCCCGCGAGAATATTTGAGGATTCATGTCTTTTCGAGGTTACGGAGGGAAAGAACTTCCTCAGTTTATATCCAATTGAGGTTGTCACCTATCGCCGATTTCATTCTTCCAGAGTATCGTCTCGGAGGATCATCTTATATTCACTGGGGTCTTTACATATCCTTTCTTGTAAGTGCGCTGGTAAATCTGCTAAGCCATCCTTCTTAATGTTTTGCCGTAAAAAGTCTTCCCGCATGAGGAGGTCGAGAGAAATACCTCCTACTAAGACCAGCCCCGCCCCATGAGACACCGTTCTGTACGATCTGGTTACTCGAAGCAGATTACTCGCTGGATCGTCGTCAACCTGCTCTTCTGATGTTACGAGAGACCCCGGTTCCAGGGAGGAGAAACGGATCATATTATACCAACAACTACTCCTTTATAAATGACAACAGTTGCTGGATGTCTTAAGGCTCCCTCTATACGACTGACCCCATTATGGTCTGCTAAGGTCACCTTTTTGTCCCCTACAAATTGAATTAGAGGATTGAAATTTTGTGGGGATTGAGTTACGTTTGAGAAGTATATAAGTGGAGTATGAAACTCCCCACTACTCCATAATAATATACTTGTAAATTTTATTAAAACAAAATAAAAACAAATAAATGCATTATTTCAATTGATTTTAAAATTCAATTCGATTCCCAAAGGTCAGCATTAGAGCTTTAATTTTAAAAAAGTTGATCAGATCTCCGATCGAAAAGGTAGGGAAATATGGCCATTGTGTTGGAGATCTGCTCCCCTCCTCCTTTTCTTCACGATGAATGTTTGTCATAGATCAAGTAAAAAAAGATCTCCCCTTCAAAATTTGATACATTGATTATTTCTGTTTTCTTTTATTTTTCTCCCCTTGTTCACATTTTAAGCTACACGTGTTTTTCCCGGTCCGATGGTGAGGCCGGGGGAATTATGCCGAGTTAAAAGTCTCACTAGGCACCTGGATTTGAACTCGTAATTATTTTTCCAGCTCTAACTTCGATTATCAGATTGGTGGAGCACGCAGTGCTGTGCACTCGCGTTTGCCCGCTAGGCCAACCCGCTCCCCAATTATTTCTGTTTGTGAGACTTAAGATTTGGTGTATAAATCTTATGATAATACCCTATTAGTAGTATTTCCTCTTTTGTATTGTGTATTTCTTGCTTCCTTTAATGAATCTAATATGCGCAGGGTGAAATACAGGAGTCATTGAGAAGTGCGGTCGACAACAACGACGTGGAAGAGATCAAGAAAGCAGTGCAGAAAGGAGCCGACATACACAAGGACAACCCCGAGGTGAGCGGTACGCCACTGCACCTAGCGGCAGAGCGGGGGAGAGTGGAGGCGGCGGCGGCACTGCTGGAGCTGGGAGCGGACATCGACAGCTTCAGCGCGGCCTGGGCGAGCAGCCCGCTGGGGGCGGCGGCCTGGTGCGACCGCTGCGAGGTGGTGCGCTTTCTCTTGGACCGCGGAGCGGCAGTCGACATGGCGGACCCCGACGGCCACACCCCCATGCACTTCGCCGCCAGCAACGGCTGCGTCGAGTGCGTGCGGCTGCTGCGCGACCACGGGGCCGCGGTTCAGGTCGTGGCCGCAGAAGGCTGGACGCCGCTGCACGAGGCGGCTGCGGTCGGTAGTGTGCCCGTGGTGGAGCTGCTCCTCGGCTGGGGCGCCCAGCTCAATGCCGTCGACTGCTTCGGGCAGACCCCGATGGACTGCGCTATCAGCTACAAGAGGGCCGCCGCCATCGAGTTCTTGAAGGACAAGGGCGGCTTCTGCACGTTGGACAAGAAAAAGGAATCTGAATTAGACAAGTCCGAAAAATGAAATGTTAAAATTGAATATATTTTAGTTATACATAAATTTAATAAAGTCATACTTTTTTTCAGAATTATATACATCCACAAAATAAATATCTGTATGTTGTTTGATATTTATAATATTATTATATTATATATAGTTTTTATTATTACATTTAAGTAGTTATTAGGAAAAATAAGAAGCCTTTTAAGACCATAAAGTTTTAATATAGTAGAGTGTGAAAAATATACTTTGGTATTTAAAACTATTGCCCTTTATTTTTTATTTATAAAATACAAAGGTTTTTATTTTGTCGTTCTTGAGAGTTTGTTAAATATAAAAATTGCTATTGCATATTTACATTTACCATAGTTAAGTAGTTTACCATTATTCTTATAAATCAATACTGTCACTTAAATTGAATACATATGCAGTATTCAAATTTAAAAATATAAAGTAGCGCGAATCTGACCTATGGGAGAAACATCACTCTATAAACACCTTCGAACGTTTGTATACATCGCAAATCCCCTAACCATTAGCCTGGTTTTGTTCCGTCCATAAATTCTTTACTCTTGAAAATCCAACGGTTGTTGATAGCCTAACTTCCCTCAGGTAATTCCATAAGAATTCAGATAAGATTTTTCTCTAATGACGCGGGTTCTTTACGGATTGCATCTTCAGTTTTGCCCTTGTTTAGGATTCTTGTACCTTCTCTAATGTGATAGGTTCTTCGCATGCAGCAATCATAGCGTGATTTTCAAAACGAGATTTTTTCCTTGTCTCTTAGTTCCTATAGATTTGATACATCTTTATCAACTTTAACAGCAGTCTCCCAACACCTATCAAGAATACCGCAATAAACTTACTCTTTCTGAGGCTCTAATTCTTGAATCATTTCTTCTGACGAAAACAATGATTTTGTTTGCCATACAGTGTGGCTTCACTGTATGGAGATCCTCCACTGATCATATATTTACTCTCAGACAGATTTTAGAAAATCAAGCTGAAAAATCAAAGAGGCTGGATATGATCTTTATAGATCTCGGAAAAGCACACGATAGTGTCCCACGGAAATAACTTTGGAAAGCTCTTGAAATAGGCGCTGATTTTGTGGCAGTGATAAAGGAAATATATAAGCACGGACCAATGAAATAAACATAATAAGCATAAGAAATGAAAAATGGCAATCTTAGTATAAAGTGTAAAACAGAGAAAAGAAATATGAAGTTATGTAAGGAAATAATAGATATAGATAGAAAATTAAGATATTATAAAATCTATCAAAAATATTGACTACATATAAGAAAATAAAAAGTTAAAATAATTTAAAACAGATGAATGAGCAAATATATTTAAGATAGTCACAAACTAAGATTGTTTTCTCCTTTTCTTCCTCCTTCCCTTCTCTCTCTTTTTCATATCTCCATCTCTATTTTGTATATATTGATACAATTGCAATTATGAGGAAGACAAAGAAGAAGAAAGGCTAGTAAGTGAAAGTTGTGTGATGCACGCACCGCATCAGATTTTTATTATAATGAAGTAAAACAGTCATAAAACGAGTAGTTATATATATTATTTTTTACATATTTGTGCGGAAGGGATTTTAAAGTCCGTTCTAAGTGAAAAAAGTAACTGACGAAAAGAGAAATTAAAAAAATGGTATAAACTTTGGAGGGAACTTGTACATTCTACTATCCTTTTATTTGATTTGTTCATTTCAAATTTATCTATGATTCTTCGACCTCTTTGTTTATCTCCCGAAGTGGTTATACAAGGTTATAAACATAGTTGATAATTTTAAAAGAAGGACCTGTCATGTTTCCGATATAAATAAACAATATTCTCCTAAAATGAGAATCACGAAAGAAGGGATATGTTTGGTCATTTTGATATTAGTTTTCTCAATTTTGATTGCAAATTTCTTAAACCTGATTTCTACTGAAATAAATGATGAACTAGCAACTCCACGAATTTCTTCCTTATTGAATCACAGGGAACTGAAAATTGGTGATTCTAAAAATCATCTTATGTGGTTCGCTCAGGTAAACAAATAGTGTTCATTTTCAAAATTATAAAAAAATTAGTTGCGTTTTTAACTGCAATTATGATTCAGGTTTCGGATCTGCATATAAGCAAATTTCAAGATAATGGAAGAGCTACGGAATTGTTAGAATTTTGTGATTTCACAATGAAACATATTAACCCATCTGTGATATTGGCTACAGGTAATGTTTATTATACATATTCTGCCGTGAAAAAGCGATTTTCTATTGAGAATTTGTTGTATAGGTGATATAACCGATGCCAAGAAGCGAGATTTAATAGGTTCTCAGCAGTTCAAGGAGGAATGGATCATGTATAGAGAAGTTTTAGATAAATGCTCGACTATAAAGAAAATACCTTGGCTTGATATTAGAGGAAATCATGGTGAAGAAAATTCCTTTCTTGCTCTTACTATTTTTTATTTGGGACATATAGTTGAACAATTCTTAAATGATTTCAGATAACTTTGACGTACCTGATATCTCTTCAGCAAGGAATTTTTTCCGAGACTACTCTATGCAAGGAAAAAACCATTCCCAATCTTATATTCATAAATTTTCAATTGGCTCAGATTCGTATGCATTTATTGGAGTTGACGCTTGCCCCGCCATTGGCCTGAAACGTCCTTTTAATTTTGTCGGGCTTCTTTCTGATCCAGATTTATCTCGACTCACTGATTTTTATGATTCTCTCATTGATGTTAATTATACTTTTTGGTTTGGCCACTACCCGACATCTTGTATTCTCAGTCATAAGCCTGGAGTAAGTATTACGTTATTATAGATTTTAAATAAATTTTATTTTCTGATAATCACTTTTACTATAGTATCCTCAACCAGCAAAAATGTATCTAAAAGATGTATTTTATATATTTCATTATAATATATTGATATTATAATAACTGAAATCTGGCTAACAGATGTCTTGATCAAGACATGAGATGTATAAAAAATATACTGAAAGACATCTTTAAGAAAATGCCTTATGCGCCGTTTTTAGCCCTCTTTAAGCCATCCCTAAAAGAATATCTCTGGTTTTAGACACCCAAATATAACTTCATCCCAAAGGTATCCTATAAGTTATCTGCAATATGTCTGAAAGATATCTTTTTGATATCCTAAGAAGCCATTTGAAAAACATCATTTTGATGTCATCAAAAAGATTTACAACAAAGAATAAAACAAACATCTTTGTTGAAATATAGTTAATTTATTTAAAGACATGTCTATGCATTAGGATGTAGCAGAAAATATTATATTATTTTATTGTCTTTTGATTATACAACTCCCATCATATTTTCATCAGTTGTTTCATTCAGATTATTGGAAACAGCATCTATAATTATAAATTTCATAAGTGAATGATACTGTTGATGATGATGAAGATAGCAATTGAAACATTAAAACTTGTTAGTTTTTCATGATTTCTTTATATGAAAGCTATATTATGAACAATGACGATGAATTTTATCCAAAGTCCGTCTGTAATTATAAAAAATTCAACTTCAATTTGTTATGCTAGATTAATTTAAAAGACCTTATAACGTACTCACATATCATGATTCAGTTGTGACAATTTCTTTTATGTTATCTGTTTTCAAACTTCTTCAATCCATACTCATGGGAAATATCTATTTTCTTTACTTTCCATTCGAATGAGATAGATATCATCTCAATTTTTATATGATATCTGAGCTCAGGTTATGAATGTATATTATGACCAGAGATGGGCAAATGCTACTCTGAGTACTGAGTACTGGGTGTATTACTCAAAAAAGGGCATTTTTTAACAAAGAATTTAATTACTACTTCATTTGATGTCAAACGATTAACTGAAGAAGTCTCTGTAGTGATTCAATTTGAGTAAAATACTTGGTGCTCAATACTCAGAATAACATTTCCTCATCTCTGATTATGACCATATGATTAATTCGAGCATGCTAGCCAATTCTCATTGTGAAAAGGATGTCGTTTAGATATCCGGTTTAAGACATTTGGTTTAGCCACCTATAAAAAGTCATCTAGAAATGGTTGTCTGTTAGATATCTTTTTTATTTATTTTCATCATCAATTTTCTTTTCATTCATAACTTTTTTCGGGAGGATGTTACTATGAATCGTCACTGCTCCATTTAATACCCTTTCGTTTGATACCTCATTCATCAAAATACATCGCTCCTGAGAGCCGGAAAAGGGATCATTACGGCAAAAAACTGTTGTATTATATTATAAGATTAATCTTCACTATTATTAATATGTGATAAAAACAATCTTTATTTATACAATAAAATTTAGTTTATTTATGATATGTTCTCTGTTTAGATTAAGTCTATTATTGCTAATGACCAGAAAAGTATAGCGTACCTCTGCGGACATTTCCATAACATGCTAGGCTTTGTACCGAACATGTATACACTACAGAAAAAAGGCTTTTATGAATTGGAGTTGGCAGATTGGAAAGATAACAGAATGTGAGTTTTCTCTTTTGTTTAATAACAATATTAATTTATTTTAGAATCACTGATAGATATTTAAATTATAAGTGATATGCATTGAAGAAATGCTATTAAGATATTTTTATTAGTTCAGAGAAGGGGTTTCCAATAGTTTTTGGCTTATACAAAGACAACCATTAAGACCTCTAAGTCCCATGAGCGATGAAAAAAAGAAGTATATTCTATAAAATGACTCTTTAGTTGTAAAATAAGCTTTTTAAGATAAATAATTCGTACATTAAAAGTTTTAGTAACCTTGTATTTGAGTAATTTATGAAACTTCATGTCTTTTTAAATATTTTTTTTTAAATTTTGCTATGTAATCAAAGAAAATACACAATTAAATTCTTAACTATCGTTACATTAAAAAATGATGATGATGTATTTATATATTATTCAGTATTTAAGTACTCAGGCACTTTATATTTCAGATTCAGCCTTCTTTCCTTTTTTCTTAGCAGAAACACAGAGCCTAGTTTAAAGAAGAATTTATTGTATTTTTATTTTTTCTTTATTTTTTTCTTAAAAGTGTATATTTATACTGTTTTATCATTGTAAATAGTTTTAAGCGTTTCATCATAGTTTTAAGTTTTTTCTATATGGTTTTATTTGTTTTGTATACAGGGTATTTCAGGGTTAAGTGTCCAAAATGCAAAAATGAACTAAGGGCCTCAAAACAAGATAAAAATTTCCTTTGAAGGTATGTCCGCAAACGCTTCGTTTAGGAGATATTCACACCTAAAGACTTTTGTTCTTATAAAATAAATAAAACCTATTTATTTGTTCAAACTACTGTATTAATTAAATGTAAACATTAACATTCATATTAATTGTTGTTAAAAGTGATTTCCTTGAGCATTAAGACAGGAACGGCATCTTTCTTCAATATTAGCAGTGGCAGAACGGCACTGGATATGTGTTATTGTTTCACAAGATTCAATTATCCTTCCTTCCTAAGGAATTAAGGTCTTCGATTGCACTTGCTCAATCATATCCCATATCCCATTTCCCAATCTGTAGATTGGACAAAAAGTCTATGCAAGTCCGATCAATGACCTTAATTCCTTACAAAGAAGGATAATTGAATCTTGTGAAAAAATAACACATATCCAATGCCATTCTGCCACTGCTACTGTTGAAGAAAGATGCTGCGCCTGTCTTAATGCTCATGGAAATCACTTTGAGCAACATTTAATATGAATGTTAATCTTTACATTTAATTAACAAAGTAGTTAGAACAAATAGGTTTTATTTATTTTATATAACGTAAATAATTCAAATTCAAATTAAATTTTTTAGGTGTGAATATCTCCTAAACAAAGCGTTTGCGGACATACCTTCAGAGGGATTTTTTTCTTTCATTTTTGCAGTTTGGTCACTTAACCCAAGAAACATCCTGTATACCATGTTTACCTTATATTTTCTTTACTTTTTTTCTTTTTCTTTTTTCTATTGTTTTGAAAATTTGAAAGATTCAAGAGTTAATATTGTACTAATTTAAGTTTTACTTTATAATATGTCCTATTTTAGTATATCATTATTATTACTAAAAATTATTACAAATATATTTTCCAGGTTTCGCATAGCTGCCGTAGATCATGGCCTTTTCTCTTTCGTCGATGTAAAACATAATGACTGGCCGATTGTACTTGTAACAAATCCTAAGCATGCGCTTTTCAAATCCATTCGCGAACCACTTGGTGGCATGCTCACATCTACGCATGTAAGGTAGTATCAAAAAAAATATTTCAATAATAATAAAGAACCTTTTTTAAGAAATTATTTTTAAATCCCCTTGATGTAAAAAAAGTCCTCTTTGATACAGAATTATAATTTTATTTTGGTCAAACATGTGGGATTTTGTCATTTTGTGGAATAAAAAAGAAATTTTGAAATATGGAATATTAAATTAAGTTATTGAAAAAAATTCCAATATTACAAAAATTTTTATAGATACACTGAGCTTTAAAGAACTTATAAAATGGCACTTGATGTTAATAATAAAGATTAAAGACTGTAGTGGATAACAAAGTAGTGAAATTTAAACAAGATAGCATTATTCAGGGGACAAAATAAAAAATTAACACGGACTGATCTCTTGGCTTGTTAATTGAAAATAATGCTAATTTAAATATATATTACATCTAGAAGGTCTGAAATGTTAACTCAGTTTATAATTAAGAAAATAAAAACACTTTTAAATTGAAAAATTTATCATTTTTTTTTTTTATTTGGTTTGTTCAAAGACTTTTTCTCATGCTCTTGCTTCTTCAAGTTTATATTCTGTTGAAAACTATCTCATTTTGTCATATGAAATTTCAAAGTTAGGATATGATATTAATTTAAAATATATAAATATAAGAATAAATCTTTATTAACACTATTAATACCATGACCTTGTCTTTAACAATTATAACCAAAAGTTTTTCATTGGAAACTTAATGCCCTTGTGTTTGAATACAAATAATTAGTCCGTGGTACAGACCCCTTTTTATCAAATTATTAACATCCCCCTGAAACTTCGTAAATAGCTTAATATCACCGTAAACTATAACTATTTTATTTAAGAAGATTCTCAGAATTGGGGTGTTATCAATCTGCAGGTCGTCAAACTTTGTCTATTTAATTAGGTACTATAATCCCGTAAATACCCACTTGCTTTCCACTTGAACCGTAAACTAATTTGAGCACAAACTCAAAAAAAAAGGTGGTCTTCAAAAATATTGAGCCATCTGGTTTAACCTACACCCCCGAAATGTCAAAACAACGATATTGTATAGGCCAAATGGCCTAATATTTTCGTAGGCCACATTTTTCTTGATTTTGTGATCAAATTATTTTACGATCCAAGTCGAAAACAAAGAGGTATATACGAGTTTTTAAGACCTAATTAAATAGACAAAATTTGCAGACCTCCAGATTGAAAACGCCTCAATTCCAAGAGTTTTCATAAATAAAATAAATGTAGGTTACAATGAGATGAAGTTATTTACGAAATTTCAGGCCGATGTTAATAATTTGATAAAAAGGGCTCTGTATCGCGGACTAAGATTTCGATATTGTAATTTCATTATGACCGTCCCAAAAAGGCGGACTAGCAAATTTGACCGGAGTTAGTTAATTGATCATTGGCATTCAGCATTTGGCTTAATTTAACTATTATTGGACTTTTATTAAAGATAAGTAGTCAGAGAATGATCAAACATGAAAAAATATAAAAAAGCACAATAGTTAGATCAGCAGTATATAGTTGGTCTATTTAAGACCTGTGTGAAAAGTATTTTAAAATACAAATTATTTTGTTTTTCTAAAATAGAATTTTAATCACCTAGTATTTCAATGCCCAGAGACACCAACATATACCATACTTATATATGTCACATACAATCACAATTCGTCTATAGTATTTAATTTGGTAATTTAGATTTAAATGAGCTCAGTTGAGATACTTGAAAATAAACAAAGCACTTATTCTTTAGGCTTTTGGCTTTCTCGCCAGATGAAATCATTTCAGTTAGAATCAAAATAGATTCTGAATCATGGGAGAATGCGCTGCCTGTTTCTGGACCGTTATACGTGGTGCCATGGGAACCGCAAAAGTACTCTTCAGGAATGCACAATATATATGTAAATATTTGAATTGTCAATTAAAGTTAATAATGTTTTGTTGGATTATGTTATGTTATAATTATTGATGATTAATTTCCAGGTTGAGGTTCTGGATAAGAGTGGGCGTGATATTACTGTCGAACATCCTTTTTCACTCGACGGCTCAAAATTGCAGTTTAATTTTTTTCCGAGAATGTTATTAATGATTGACTTCGGCTTGGTAGTAAGTTGTTATTTATTGGTATTAATCTCTTTGATATCCATCTATTTTTTAAGTTAATATGTTAAAGCATTATAAATAGGAGGTTTTTGATTGATATATTTTGTTTTATTTTTCAGATGCAATTTTTGTACGGATTAGCTGTCATAAGCTGTGTCCTTCCTTATTGCTTTCTTCGTTATATGAATAAACGAGTTTTAGGTACGCAGAATGTTACTTTTTATTTATTTTTTTCTGTTGGTATTACAGACCTTGTTGATTTGTAAGCCTTAACCAGTCTTTTCCATCTATGCCTACCATATATTGCGTATTTGTTGATTCGATCTATCCATCTGGTTTTTGGCTTTCCATGTTGGCTCTTTTCTACTGTTGAGACATTCATTATTGTGTAGAGGCTTTCTTATAGATTGTTCCTGGCTATAGACCCTACCCATCTTAACCTCCTTACTTTCATATCAGGAGATATTGATTGATCAATTACTGTATGCAGTTTTTTACTAGTCGTTCTTTTCCATGCCTTAGTACTCTGATCCCAGATCATTTCGGTTATAGGACTTTGTCTCAAAATTTTCAATAGTTTTTTTTCTAGGGGCTTCTGGGGGTCCTGGTTAGTATCCAGGTCTCATGGCCCACCCACCTTATCCTCCTTGCGTTTATATCGTGAGATATTGACTGACCAGTTTCTGTGAGCAGTTCTTTATTGGTTCTTTTTCTCGATGGATTAATACTTACTTGGATCCTATATGGTTCCAGTTATCCAGAAAACTCTCAGAGGATTTTTCTCAAATCTTTCAATATTTCTTTCTAGAGTGCTGGTTAGTTCCCAGTTTACGCATCCATATATCAGAACTGGCTTTGTCTTAACATTGTACCTTAATTTAAGATTTTTGGGATTTCAATTCCTCTTTTAAAAGAGATTAAAAGCTCTGTTTATACTTGTTATATGTTGGTCTCTTTCTGATTGTTGGTCATTCATTGAGATTTCTGGATCCAAGGTATTTGAATCATTTACTCTCGGAAATGTTTTACCTTCTATGCAAATCCTGTTATTGGAATGGAATTTTCAGCTTATTTTCATATAATTTGTTTTATTTTCATTTACTTGCACGCTGATTAGTTCTGCTTCTCTTATCAGAGTCTTAATGATTCTGTCATTGTCCTCACGATAGCTTACAAGTAGAGCTATATCTTATCCATATCCAAGGATTTTATGATTCATTACGATCTCCACTCCACTATTTTCACAAGAAGTTGTTCTTAAAGTTGAATAACATTGTTGAGAGTCCATCTCCCAGCCGCAAAACAACTTCAACATTGAAGGCTTCAGATCCTTCTCATTGTATTAGGACTCACATTTAGGTTCATTGATACCCACCTTTGTCAATATCACCCACTAGCGGATCCAGGATTTAATTTTGGGGGGGGGGAGCTTCAGCCCGAAACCTTTTTTTTTCATAATAATAACGATAATTACTTTGGAAAAACAGAAAGAAACTAACTACCTATATGAAATGGTGTTTAAGTTATTCCTTAAGTACTTTAAAATGTAATTACACGAACAATAATACTTTAAGAGGTTTTTTTTTTCCCATAAAACATGGTTATATTTTTCTATTTTGGGGGGACTTCAGCCCGAAAAACCCACTCCCCCCCTCTCCCCCGTAGATCCGCCCGTGATATCACCAACTTGCTGGGCATGATTTTTCAGTTATTTTTTTTTTTATTATTGCTACTAATAATAAAAGACCCACCCACAACTTGGAAAAAAATTTATCTTTGAAGTTTAAAATTTTAATTTTATAGGTCATTAAAAGAATAGAGATAGTAAATGGTAATTATAATTTTTATATATATGGTTTTTTTTTTTTTACATTCTGATGTGTGCAAGTATAATTAATAACATTTAAAGATACAGTGAAACATTTACACAATGAACTGCGACGCACTGGTTAGTTGCAAGGAAGTATCCTTTGAAAGGTATATTTGTCTTTTTTTTTCCTATTCCTTGGTGAGACTTGATTATTTCTGATTATTTTTTAAAATCATCCAAGATTTGAATCTTTTTAAGTTCAACTTTTTAAACTTCCTTTCTTTCTTTCATATTTAAATTTTAGCTTTACATTTTATACATAAAGGATTATCGTTGTTGTGGCCAATACCTATTAATATTAATTGATATAGTAAAGATTATATTAGGTTCCTTTAATTTTATTTCAATAAACTGTAACAGCCTTGTACTATAACTTCTTGCGCCTACTCTGTTGTATTATTTTGCTTTTGTCCATGCTAATATATGTATAGTTTTTATATTTACTGTTTTGCTTTTTTAGATAATAAGAAACAATTGCCAAGCTTAAGGAATACTTTTGTGCATCGTTGGCTGAGAAGAATTTGGATCATTTCGAATATAAATACATTATTTTATCCGATCGTACTCTACCCACTCTATATTACCGTTGGTAATTGTCGTTCCTGTTTTATTTAATTTTTTAAAATTATTTTTCCTAGAATAGAAAACTTTTAATTTTTTTTCTCCACAATTGTTGACTTCAGGACCTTGGGCTGTTGCTGAAGTTTTGGATGGAGAATATGGAATAATATTTATTTGGGGGATATTTATCAATGGTACTTTGATTCCAGAATCGTTCACCTATTCATATGGCTTTCTACAGGTTAATAGTTTATTTTATCATAAATATATAATTGTAGTTATGTATACTAAGTATTATAAATACTCGATTGTATTATATTGAATTAAAGTGGCTGATTGTGACTAATTCAATATATTCAATGAGATCATAAACATTGTTCCCCATAATTTCCCAGTATGCTATGAGTTTAAGTACCTTGGTTCCTTAATGAAAAACAAAAACAATGTTAAGGCTGAAATTCATGCCAGAATAGCGAGGGAAACCGATGCTACATTGCTCTTCAGCGGGTACTCAAATTCACGAAAACACAAAGGCACTAAAAGTGGTGTACAAGACCATGGTACATCCTATGGTTACTTAATAATACTAGTAATACTTTATTTATTCTGGGACGAGTCCCTTTAGAATAATACAGGAAGACAGAAATGTGGGCTAAGGAGCCTCAGAGATAAATAAAAATACAGAGTAATTGAATAGTCTTGGTAAAAAAAAAGAAATATATATATATATATATATATAAGTTACTTATATATATATATATATATATATATATATATAAGTTACTTTCTAATTTTGATCAGTTGATACTAAAAAAAATTGGAGTAAAAATAGTGAAGAACATACTAATAATTTATGTACATATTTACAGTATTATCTATTTACAATTTTATGGAGACTGGATGGATAAGAAATGATTGAACAGGTGGGATTTAAAGGTAGGGCAGTAAAACTTAGACAATGATGGCCGAACATAAAAGAATTGCTGGCCGTCTGAAAGAGGAAGATCCTGAGGAAGATATATGTGCCTTTATGTGAGAGAGGAGTCTGGAGAGCCAGGTACAACTGGGAGCTATACAAACTGGCTGATGTCACTTTCATCAAAGCATCAACGGTCCGAAGAAAGTGCTTTGTGGACAATCTGTAGCAGCAAGAAGGAGAGCCAGGCCATCAATCCAGTGGATAGATAACGTCGAGACTGATCTGAGGTAACTTGGTGTCAGGCAGCAAATCAAGCAGAGTGGCAAAGAATCGGTGAGACCTAGGTCCCACATGAAAAATATCCTTCCTACCGTCGTAAGTATTTCCTGGCATCCTTCCTCTTTCATCCAATCACACCCTCCTCCATACATCTCCGAGCTCCTTCAGTTCAAATCCTCTGTTCATTCCTGGTTCTCAGATTTATACACAAGGTGCCACCAAACCGCTACTTTCGACAGATCGTTCATTATCCGACCCTCATCCCTATGGAACTCCATCCCTTCCTACATCCGTCAATCCAATACTCTCACTACCTTTAAATCCCGCCTGTTCATTGATTTCTTATCCAACCAGTCCCCATAAAATTGTATATAGATATTACTATAAATATGTATATAAATTATAAGATCTTTCTTAATTATTTCTACTTCATATTTGTTCAATTTTTTTTTTTATTACTATTAACTGGTTAAAGTTAGAAATAACAATATATTTTTATTATAATATTTATTTACTTTGTATTTTTGTTTATGTATCTCTGAGGCTCTTTAGCCCACATTTCTGTTTTATTCTAAAGGGACTCGTTTCATAATAAATAAAGTAATGTTATTATTATTATTAAATCAATAAATAAAGAAAAAGGAAGGAACTTATGGGACATGCTAATATGTTATTATACCATTATTAGTTTAATGATAGTATATTATACTTATAGTTAACACTAATCATAATTAAGAATGTTATTATCTTTATATTTTTGTATTTTATTCTTGCTATAAACCAACATTATATTATAGAAATCTCAATTTTTTTTTTTTTTTTTTTTTGCAGCTATTTTTATTTCATGGACCGCTTGTTTCATTCACAGCGTATTCGTTGGATAAGAGGTAATCAATCTTATCTCTTTATAGTCTCAATTATCGTTTCATATTTATGATAGATGGAAAATTTCAAATCTGTCTTAACTTATATATTCTTGTGTAAATAACTTGGTTGTTTACACTCGTGAATTTTAATTTTTAAACAAAACCCTGGCACTGGATATAAACTTTTTGAGGGTTTTTACTGTTTGAAATTTTTAATTGACTGGGTTAACTTCTTTCTTAATTCAGCACTATTCAGAAGTTATTTTGTATTTTAAAATACTTTAGTTAAAGTACTGCCCATGTCTGTCTGAAGTAGTTACTTTTTTGGAAATAGTTATTTATTTTTCAATTATTAGTTAATTTGTTTAATAGGTACCTATACATTTAAAAAAAAAATTAGGAAATTATTACATTTTTTTTAAGTTGGTTAAAAATAAAGCTTGTAATTATAGGATGATTGGTAATTATGATTATTTTTAGAATGTCGGTTGATTGTTCTAAAATTAATTGTATTGCCATTTGAGATTGTCAGAACCTGAGGTAATAAGAAGTGGAAACAAATTGCTGTGGGTGCTGAAACTGTCCGGGTACCAGATCCCGTATCTAGCGCTGCTGCTGTCACAGCTCCTGATGGCCTACGCCTTTTACCTGGCCTACGGCTCCATCGCGGTGCTCTTCGGCCCCATTAGGCTCTGGCCGATAGTCTTGGTCTTCTGGGTATGGTATCATTCCAAAACATTGTCTCTTCACAAAATGAGGTATTTTTATTTTTCATTATTTATTGAAAAAGAAAATAATATAAAATTTAATTAAATGTATATTTATACTTATAGTTTAGGATTTGACTTTATTATAATAACAAAAACACTCAATTTGATCATTTGAACAGTTCTATTTCATTTTTCATTTCTACACCTATGTTTCAGCCCTTGGGCCATTTTCATGAGAAGAAACCTTTAACAAATAAAACAATCAGCACAGCCTAATTATACTTTTTCATTAGTTATTATCATTTTATACTTTATAACTACATACCTAGTTAAAAAAAATAAAACAAATGGACTCTATTGCCTTTGTCAACATAACGCAATTAGTCAAATACTAAAACCTCCCTCTATAAGGTCATATTTATTTTAAACTTCTTCAAACTAACATTTTTAACAATTAAAAATGACATTATCACACAATATTTATGTATTGTTAAAATAATTGTGGGTTGATGGTTGACATTATTAACCATCAAATAATGAAGAGAAGGATGGTTGGGGAGATCAGTCAGAAATAAAAAGGCAAAAAATAAATAATAATATTTATTTTAACATTTGCCAACTTTTTTTTTTTTTTTGTTCTTCCCTACCCCGCCTTTTAGGCTATACAGGATTTTCCTGGGCCGGAGGGTGAAGGCGGGGAATTTAAATTCCCCTCCGCCACCGGGATGCGAACTCATACTTTTTTAATCTTCTCAAATCTCTTATCTGGTTGCCAGGCAACTCGCGGTGCAGTACACACGCTTTAGCCCATTCGTCTACCCCAGGCCCCTCCAACGTTTTGACCTGAAGTTCAGGCCTTCATCAAGGCTGTTCAAGGAGATAGATCGAATTGAGTGGAGACCTCAATTCGATCTATCTCTTTGAACAGCCCTAATGAAGGCCTGAACTTCAGATCGAAAATAAATATTATTATTTATTTTTTGCCTTTTATTTCTGACTGATCACTCCAACCACCCAACCATCCTTCTCTTCATCATTGTTAAAATAGTTCACAATATTATATTATATTATAAATACAATTTACTCACAGCCCTATTATCAATTGTATATATTTTTTAAAAAACTATAATTTTTGCCTTTATTTCTGAAATTTATATCGACAATTTTTATATTTATAATTTAACATAAATTTTTTTTTTAAAACTTTCTCTCTATACAAGTACTAAACTCATTTTTCTTCCATTTCAATACATTTATAAATTAATTTTATTTATTATTTTTGCATAATGTTGACCTATTTGCCTCGAATCTGATTTTAAATTAACAGTATAATCTATGTTCTGTAATGTACAAAGCTTCCAAAATTTTCCTTCTGCCTGTATTATTGTCAAAATAATGAATATTACTGAAAGCATGTTGGGTACTTTTAGTCTAGCAGGCCGGACTGAAACCTCACCTCTTATCTATCTTATCAAACGTCACGTCACATAACCTCCCTCTTCTTATCCCCTTTCAGTTATTGCATTGTTTAGTTTTCAGTTATTCCCTTATTACGTTCACTTATTAAATTGTTTACTTTTGGTCCGTTTGTGTTTATTTTTCATTATTTTTAGTTTTTGGCCCGTTTATGTTTATTTTACTTTTTTTTTAGTTTGTGGCTCCTTTGTGTTTCTTTTCGTCATATTATGGATCTTCTTAGAATATGGAATTTGACGCCTTCAGAAGAACAGGCACTTCAATATTTTTAAAATGTTGGGGTACTTGCCGACTTGAATCGACGTGTGATCGAGGTCATCGAATGAAGTCAACCAGGAAGGCCAAATGGAGATGCTTTCGTAGGACTTATGACACAAAACTTTCAATAAGGAAAGGAACATGGTTGGAGGGCTCGAGGATTTCGTTTTTAATAGCTTTAAAATTGATTTATGGATGGTCCCATAGCTTGACAACGATGAAGTGGGCCAAAGAGCAGCTGAAACTATTCAACAGAGCTATGGTAACGTGGAACAAATGTCTAAGAGAGGTTTGTTCCCATGACATGTTATACAGGCCAAGAAAAAAAATTGGAGGACCTGGCAAAGTGGTTGAAGTAAAAGAAAGTCTTTTTTCTAAACGAAAAAATCATGTGGGGAGAGTTTTATCTCAGCAGTGGATGTTTGGTGGAGTTTGTCGAGAAACAGATGAATGTTTTATCTTTTTATAAAACCGATTTCGTTTTATATTTTTTCTTTTCTATGTAAATATGTTCTTTTAAATATGTTTTTTATTATTTCATTTTGATGTTTTATATGTACATATCTTCTTAAAGTGTTTTTTTATTATTTCATTAATACATGTGTCGTCAAATAAAAGTATTTTTTTTGTTATTAAATTTGTTTTTGTATCTGTTTAAACTTTCAATAATACGAATTTAATACAATAATACGAAGATATGAAGTAAAAGAAGGCTTATCAGTGCTTTATGGGAGTTATCAGTGTTCAGGTTATAAACATTGGCAGATAGCAGTCAGTAGCGGCCCCTTAGACGAAAAGTACCGCATGTTGCACCAATACTGTTTTTTTTCTGTTCTTTACATCACGTACGTTCTATCATTGATATACTGCTTAGTTTCCCCTATGTTTATCCCCAGAAAATTCAAACACGTAACCTTTTAGACCAATTCTGCTTGATAACTTGTACTTTATCTTTTAAATTACTATAATAATTTTTAATTTTATTCTTTGGTCTAAAACTTAAGGGATAATCTCCCAAATCATAATTATTAAAGGACCTCCTTATATCTTGTGATAGGCCTTTAATGTAATTACAATCATAATACTTCTTTTGGCTCACCCTTTTGCCTTCTCTATTTTCACTTTCTATGTAAATAACATTCTTTAAGTTCAATTATCAAACTTTCTTAATTAAATTTTTATGATTAAAATTCTTAGAGTACATAATTTTTCCGTTTACTATTATCAATCTGTTAACATTGGTTTCAATTACGTTTTTAAAGAAATTATATAAATTTTTATTAATTGGGTGTATAAAAAAAAAATTACTGGTTTATCAAATTAAAGATTTCAAAGGACTGTAAATATTTTAATCCTATTTAATACTTATCAATACTTAATAATCCCCTTAGAACATTCTCTAAGCTTGTGTAATCCCATTCGACTTCTTCAAAAAAGCCTCAGTTTAGTTATTTTTTTCAAAGAAGAAATATGATAGTGTCCTACGAAATTATCATAATTTTAAGGAATTACTTAAATAAATTATAGCTACTTGTAAAATTATTAAATATGAAGGGGAAGGTGTCCTTGACTAGTGTACTGCGCAGCATTGGTTTTAAAAATTTAACATTGGATATACGAAGTTGGAATGGAAGAAGGGCTCCGGGCGAACATTAATGAATATTGATGAGGTTCTACAAGAAACTGTTAATTAATTCAAATCCGTCCACGTGTACTCACAAACTTGCCAGGGAGTGTGTTGTGTCAAAAGATTCTGTTATTCACAATCTAATCTCAATGGGAATGGTGAAAAAGAGCAGTATACTATTCTCTCACGAACTTACTACTCAGAAATCAGCTAAGAGGTTAGAATTTTGCAGAAATTTATTGAAAAACCCTTCTGATATGAGACTCCTGCTTCATCAGCTCATCCTGCTTCATTCATGGCACATTTTCTTCAAGGGAAAAAATTTGATAATTTGTATAAGGTTGAAATTGCTGTTCAACAGTTTTTTTACAGTCATCCTGAAGTATGGTATCAGCGTAGGATTGAGAAATTGGCTAGGAGATGGCTGATGATGGTAGATAACACTGGATTATACTTTGATCAAAGAAATTATAATACAACTATTTGGTTGAATGGTAATTTTTTTTATACACCCTATTAGTTTATTATATTTCATATGAAACTGGTGACAAGAATAATAATTTAAAATAGCGTTGCTGGTGGTTTCATTTTTTGTCCATTCTGTGGTAATTATGTCCCCATTCCTTATAATCAGCATGTTACTTGGAATTCGTATTTTGCCAGTAAACCTACTTTTCATCACAAGTGACAATCTTCCGGTAAAATCTCATATCAGAAGGGTTTTTCAATAAATTTTCAAAAAAAATTAACCTCTTAGCTGATTGCTGAGGAGTAAGTTCGTGAGGGACCATTCTAATGCCTTTTTTTCACCTTCTTCATGGAGCATAGATGGCGACTAATACTATCTTTCGACACATCACACTCTCTGGTAAGTTTGAGAGTACTGTTTGACGGATTTGATTCAACAGCTTCCTTCAAAACCTCATCAATATCCATTATCGGAACCCTTTTTCCTTTTCAATTCGTATCTCCACTGTTATAATTTTCAAACCAGCGCTGCGCAGTGCACTGGTCAAGGAAATCTTCCCCATCATATTTAATAATTTTATGAGTTGTTTCAGCGGCGGTGACATTTTTTTTTCCAGTAATGCCTTAAAACTACGATAATTTTGTTGGGCACTGTCATGTTTTTTCTTTGAAACAATTAACTAAGCTGAGAATTTTTTGTTTAAGAAGTTGGATGGATTAAACAACAAGCTTAGAGAATGCTCTAAAGCGATAATTAAGTATTGGTAAATATTAAAAAGGATTAAAATATTAACAGTCCTCTGAAATCTTGAATTTGATAAAACGGTCATTTTTTTGTTATACACCCTATTATATACCACATTCCACTTTACAAATCTCATCACCAACTTAAATTTTTTATTATATATTCAAAATAATTTATTTCACAGAGCGGCAGCAAAGGCTTTGGACAGGACCTCAACGAGGAGCTAAAGACAATAAAGACGTATTGAGTGATCTAGTCTCCAATGATTCCTTCTTATAGTATTTAGAACACTTGCTAAGTATTTCTCATTAGTAGTAAATGTCTTTCATGTACTTTTAGAAATTATTGTCACACTTCTTCTATTCAAACAATGACAACTGTTAGAATCAATTTTTTGTCCCTAATCATTGATAATCCGTCGTTTTCCAAAGTTGGAGCACATTATTTAGTAGAAAATAAAGGAGGAAATTTCAATAAATCGCATAAGGCCAACAGAATAAGGCTGAGATGAGGAATAGATATTTGATGGATAAAATAAAAACATTTTAATTTATTAACTATTAAACTGCCAATATAAATACTAGTCATTTCTTGTACAAATACTTTCTTATTTTGGTTATAAATAACTAAATTCATTTGAACCTTGTTATATTAAACATTAAAATTCCTATTAAAATATTTGAAATCAACAATAACGTTTTAAAATCTTTTAATAATAATAATGATTGTTTTATTATAATTGGATGTCTCATAAATAATGAGAAAATATTTAAACAAATGATAATAGACCATAAGAGCAATAAAAAAGTATATAACATCAATTCCTCAACTTCTTCTGTTACAAACTTCAACTTATTTTAATTATTGTGGACTTAAAAAGCTTATTTATTTAACAAGCGAAAGTTTATCTAAAAGTGGGGAATCTATAGTCATAATTTTTAATTATTAAATAGTTTTTTGTTATTCCTTTCATTCACCAGAAAATTTGATTTTCTGCCTTTTTGTTAAGGGTGGACCATGATTTATATGAATTTTTTCTTGTTCCTAGGGTCTAATATCACCTTTTTAAATATTTTCATTTGATAGATGTATATGATATGAATCAGTGAAAAACAACCCGACAAGAGACAGAAATATTTTAGGTTATAATTAGAAAAATTCCAACCACACAGCCTTATTTGTCCTAAATGTAGGTAAAAAATAAAATACCTGTCAACATTTTACCAACTTATGTATCATTGGGGCAGAAAATTTTGGATTTTATTTGAATATTAAATATTTTTGATCTGTCCTTTTATTTCATTATCAGCTGTTTAATCATGTTTCTCAGCTGTGTTAACTTGCCTTCCTTCCAGTATGCTATTAGATGTCATGAAGTGATGTGATCTTCAATTTGCGTACCTTTTATGTCCCGATGATGCCTGAATTGGCGAAACGGTGGATTTTTTATTTTTTACCTACATTTTGGAGACATAATTTGGAATTTTTCCAATCATAACCTATATTTAATATTATATATATAATATAAATCAGTAAAAAACTTACCAAGAGACAGAAATTCAATGTTAGGTCTAGTATGCAGTTGGAATTTTTCTGATTACAACCTAACATATAATGCATAAATATAAATAATGATATAAGATATGAAAAATTATAGATTGGAATAATATTTGTTCCTAGATGATCAAATTTTAAATTTATATATTAGAAAAAATGTTACTGTTGCATTTGTAGTTGTAGTTATTGTTTTAAATTAAACATTCAGAGAGATATATTTAAACTTAGTATTTTTAATTTTATTAAAATGAAATAGGTTTATTTCTTCTTTTTTAAAAAAAAATATTTATCTGTTGTTTTTGCCCAAGCCTCATTTATACTTATACTTTGATATTTAATCTATGAATTAGATTATTAAAGGAATAAAGAATTAAAATTTCCAAGAGTGAATAAAGCTCTATAACATCCAAATAATTCTTTAAATTAAAAAAAAATAAAAAAAAGAAATCATGGCTAAACATTAAATCATCTTTGTCGAGACTGTACTTCAGTAAGAGCTTCTGTTGTTTTAAGAAAAAATAATTTTAATAGGTAGACATATCTTCCATCCTTCTCACCATAAATTTTCTCCGTGTAAGGATAAGTCAAATTGTATCTTAGAATTTAAATAAAATATTTATTTTAATATAAAATATATTTTTTAAGAATATTTGAAATTTTTTTAATAAAAGAAATATTTAGCTGTAGATTTAAAAAATTGTGCCAAATCGAAATTTTTAATGATGAAAATGAAACAAAAGAAAACTATCCTTTTTTAAAGCCAAACTTTAAACATTCCTAATATTAATGGCTCCCGAATTTAATCCAAGATAAATATTAAATTATGAATCTTGATCAGTTGTCTTTGTTTTTATTTTTATTATGCTTCCTATTATTTTATTATTCATTATAAAAATATAATTATTATTTATGTATTTATTTTGATGTTATATAACAAAGTTGTATTATTGCTCATCTAGTCTGTTAAATTACTAACTGAAACCTAATAAGTTTATTTATTGTTTTTTTTTTTTCATGTTATTGTATCGATTTTACATCGGTTACTCAATCAGATGTTGAAATCGGACTGAAAAATATATAGTCCATGGTACAGACCTCTTTTTTTTATCAAATTGTTAACATCCGTCTAAATCTTTGTGAGCGGTTTCATCTTATCCTAACCTATAACTTTTTTTATTTACGAAAATTGGGCAGTTTTTAATCTAGAGATCGGTAAACTTTGTCTATCTAATAAGGTACTAAAAACTCATTAACACCCATTTGCTTTCTATTTGAATTATAAAATGGATAAGAAAGGTGGCCTATAAAATATTGGCTGTTTAACATGACCTCCATCCCCATCATCTCAAAATAACGAGGTTATATATGCTAAATGGCTCAATATTTTTGTAGACCTCCTTTTTTCTTGATTTTGTGTTCAAAGTATCTAATGATTTAAGTGGAAAGAAAATGATTATTCATGAAATTTTAGTACTTAATTAATTAATTTAATGAGAAAACGCTTCTGAGAATTTTCGTCGATAAAAATGTTGTAGGTTACGATAAGATAAAGACATTCACTAAGTTTTACGTGGACATTAATAATTTGATAAAAAGGGGTCTTTATCACGGAGTAAGATGTAATAATTCCAATAATAAATATTTCATATTTGAAGAATATAACACCATTCATGGTCTACGACAGTGGCTCTCAACGTTTTTTGGGCAGTCTTGTTGTACTAAAATATTTTCCCGGCATCCTTATAGTACTAAAACATTAAGTCTTTTGAAGGTAAGTCCTGCCTGACATTTTTTTATAGTAACCTGTTATTTGATGTGGTTAAAGAAAAACACTTGATATCGAAACCTTTAATTATAATTAATCTAATTAACATTAAAAAAAAAAAAAAAGGTTATTCACATAGCCAAGTAGTTAAAGGGAAACTTGTATGTTCTAACAATGTATCGGAGAATATTCTCTTCTCATTTCTACACGAACGTTTATAACACCACCTAGCTATAAGCACTATTTCTTTCTAAGAAATTCATTGGGTGTTCTGTATTACAGAAAAGCTCCTTATGGATAATTTCAGCTTTCTGAAAAAAACTTAAAGGCTTCTCTCTCGCCATTCAAACTAGAATATAACCTAAAGGTGTTAATTTTGTTAACTAAATCTGTTAACAGATGTTTATATAATAGAAGAATAACAACATATAACTGAATATGATACAAAATTTAACTGATACGTTTCTATAACGGATACTTTTTCTATTTAAAAAAAAAACTGCTAGAGCTAATCTGCTAGAGACTCAAAACATTTTCTTGCTATTCTTGTTGAGCTGAAATTCCTTGGAACACTCGTCAGATAAAAAAAAAAAATTGTGGCCAATTATGTTTAAAGGTCACGTAATAGAATATTTATTCATTTTTGTTACAATTTATATAAGCCAAATAAAATTATTTGGAGATATAATCTTTAATTTTATTGATTTTAATTACAATTATATTTTTAATAAATACATATTTATGCATTTTTATGTCTGTTCGACAAATTGACAATTTTTGACATAATATATTTAATATCACTGCCACAAGAGTTGTGAAATACGCTTCCAACAACCAGTTTTACCGCTTCTATTTTAGGGATTACAAAACAGATATAAAATGCACCCTATCCTATTTATTCCTTTTATGGATGGGGATGAAGGAGAGAGAGTACTGTTTTCTGTAATAACATTGCAGTAAAATTAGATATATAGCTTGACCATGATTAAATGGCAGTCCGAGGGCGAATTAATGTGGTACTAAGTTTAAACTAACATATTTTGTTTCTTCTTTACTGGTATTGGTGGGGGGCTCAAGTTTGACTAGTAGAACTATTGGTGCTTTTTGCCAACACCATAGATAATAATACTTAATAATAAGTAGTCTATATTGTCTTACAGACAAACATGCTAAGTGTGTTTGAAATGAATATCCTATAGGGCGTATTTTTGGTCCAGTTTGCGTCCAGGGTGTGTGGCGCATTAGAAATAACCAGGAGCTTGAAAACTTAATTAGGCATGAAAATATATCACGCTATCATAAAATCACAAAGAATTAGCTGCTGCCTTGGTCATGTGCAGAGAATGGAAGATGATAGAATGACAAAGAAAATAATGGAAAAAGAAAAAAAGGATGCCCTAAGAGACGATGGCTGGATGACCTAGAGGAGGATTTGGCAAGAATTGGAATCACTGGATGGAAACAGCTGGCATTGAATCGGGGCGCCAAAAATCAAATTGTGCGGGAGGCTATCCATAGTCCACCTTGGACTGTAGTGCCAGCGAAGTAAGTAGTAAGTCTATATTGCCACCATTTCTATCTCGATCATTTTCGTGCTAATGAAGTTCATAAGACTTGGTCATTTTATGTATGAAGCTTCCTAATCTAGGATTCTATCCAAACCCAGAAACCTGTATCTGGGTGATGGGAATCTGTCACATTCTGTTATTTACTTAAAGATAGCAGAGTTCATTCCACATATCTTGACGATTTTAAGTCTGCAATGGCCTGTTAGTATCCCAATGATGAATCAGATTTACTTTTTAGCTAGGCCTAGCAGCCACTTAGTTCTAGAGAAGAAGGAGTTTTAAATTAACTGTTTGGCTTGTCTGATAACAGTGCATTCTTTCCACTCCTTACCTGCTCTTTTCCATATCCAATCGAGGACTTGTTTCTGCTGATGTTTCTTTGATATTCCTATCGCAGGTTCTGATCTTATAATAGGGTTTTCAGTTCCCTTTCTTACGAGGATATCAGCTTTCTCTTTGCCTTTAATTCTCCTATGACCAATGACCCACACTAGTTTCACTCGCTTGGAACAGGCCAATGTCTCCAATGCCTGTTTACACCCTCGTGCCAATGTGGAAATCAATTTGGGAGATTCTAATTTTTTTTTCTAACCTTCTGTTATTACTTACAAAATATTTACAAAGGTATTCATAAATTAGAAGATTGCAATATATTTCAATATGTGTATATATTTATAAATTTTTGTAAGTAATGTCGGTAGGTTAGGGAAAAAAACAAAATATATTTTGTAAAATAGGTACATAAATCGAGAACTAATAATATTCTTTTTAAAAATAATATTAACAATCTATTTTAATTTATTATTTATGTATTATAACTTTTAAGAAGTGAAAAAACGACATTCTTTGAAATAAAAGAATGACTAAAGGACGAATCATATCGCAATGATAGATTTTAAAAATTTTATGGCGCGGTGCATGGTAGGTAGATAATATAAATTTAATTTTAAAAAATTTTTTATAAAATAAATTTTGGACTATTTGTATTACTGATAGTTGTTAAATAATATGTGTCTGATAAGGATGTATTTGAATTG